TAAATTAAATTATAACAAAAAAATTACATAAAAAATAAGAATTTTAAATAGTTAATTTGATACTAATATCGATATATTTTTGTCAAATTTTTATGATATATTTAAATTTATATTTTATTAAAAAATAAAAGTATTATCGCTTTTTTCAAAATCACATAAGATCATACTATAATATCGATTGAGATAAAAAATAAAATGAAATATTAAAATTAAGATATATTTCGCTGCATTATGCGAACACCCTTCTAGTAATAATAAAAACTTCACTTTTCAAATTTTTTTAATTTATAAAATTATTATATAATTTAAGATATATATATATATATATATTATAAAATCAAAAAAAATTCAAATATAATTTATTAATTTTCACTTTTCTATATTATTTTTATTTTATTAATTACATTAAAACATAAATATAATTTTATACTACGAAAAAAAAATTGTAAAACCACTAAATATTAATTTTTATAAAAATTAACACTAAATAATAGATAATAATAGTATATATTATTTATAATTTATATCAGACCAAATGTGTTTAACCAAGTGAGAGCGAGTTGATGATGAACTTCACTTGAGTGAAGTGGATCTCATAATTTCGTTGAAAATATTTTTGGAATTCATTTGTAGAATCTTAGAAATTTACGTTGAATTATGTACTTCCTTAACAATCCAATTGACTAACATGTCACATTCATCTTCAACAATTTATACATAACACACACACACACACACACACATATATATATATATATATGTGCGTGTGTGTGTGTGAGTTATTATCCAACCATTTACATTTGTACAACTAATACAACTCAATCTCAACTGTTCATTAATTTGATAAATATGTGATTTTATAGAAGTTTTGATTGTTTCTTAATATAAAGTATTGATCATAATTAATAAACTTTATTCATCTTCCATACATATTCAAATCATAATAAATGAACTTCCATCATTTCTATAAATATCTCAATTAATTGATCATATTGGTTGTACAAATAGACATGGTTGCATTTGAAATATACCCTATATATATGGCTTAATCAAATGAGAATCCTAGAATTTTTGAGATTCACGAAATCCAATGTAAACCACTCATTTAAGATAATTATTTTATTTATAATTAATTGTAAAAGATAATTTAGTCAACTCATAAATGCATTTAATTAATTTACTCTCACATAAATAAAAAATCTATAACTTTCATAAATAGGAAATTCATAACTCCTTAAATAATATATTAATTAATTATTCACAATGCGTATCTAAGTCCTTACACATTACACAATACTTTTAGGGATCTTTAATTTTTAATTTTTTGTTCTTATTGTCGTTTGTAACACCCCTAAAAATACATAAACCGAAATTCATTTACGAGAGCCCAAAGCATCAAATAAGATTTAACCAACAAAAGAAATAGTATGGCGGTTACAATCCGGCTAATCGAGATGATAAATAACAACCTATTAATCTAGAACATTCTAAATCTAGATTAAAGACGGGGGTTTCTATTAGTCTCCAAGAAGTCGYAACRTCAAAACGGGACGCTCGAAAGTAACAAGCCTATAAATACAAAAGAGTCTTTCACGAACCAATGCTCCTCTCGACCCTTTAGAGCCCCACCGTTAAAGGAACCTAAAAGTAAATATAACAAGAAAGAGAGAGAGGGTTAGGCTTACGCCTAGTGAGTCCAAACGAGAGTTTACGTAAACATAAAGGAACATATATAAAAATGTACATGCAAATAGTTGACGTAACTTTAAACAGGAATAGAGACAGTAAGACCTGAATAACTCATAGTGGGACAATAAAACATCCGAAGAAGATGGGGGAGACCCGATTTACCGTTGATTATGACAGACACAAAGTAAGTCATAAATCCACGTTATAGAGCATCACTTACAGGTATAATACCATCGACATCAACCTAAACCAGTCATATAGTCGGCCGTGATCATAAGCTCTTTACCTCGGTAATTACATAATAATCACAATGCCTATTACCGAGTGAAAATGAGAGGATGATTTGGTGATTACATAATAATCACAATGCCTATCACCAACTTACACCATCCTTCCCACGAATAAAATAAAATGGTATACATGCACTACAAACTCAATACCTTCTGTGCTAAATTTGAATACGGAGCCGAAATCATATTAGCACCTATTTATCAAAAGATAGATGCACGTGCCCATTCTCGAACAACAGAAGATGCCCATATTGACAATAAAGAGCCTCAACCTAAGAACATGAGGATTTTAAAGTTTAGTGGCCAACAATACTTTGAAAGTAGCATCCTACCATTTGATCAACGTCCTTTGTCCAAACCTGACCTTTCTTTAATAATGAGATTGCCCAAGTTTACCCCTTTCCCAAACTATCTATTTCACCCAAGTGAGTATGTGCAGCAAATAAGGCATAGGATAAGGAAAGGTATTTCATTTCAATAATATATAGGTTTATATATATATATATATATAWAWRTATATATATAAGTATAGGGTTAGATGAACTCACCACTAACACTTAATAAAAGAATTGACYTCCAAGTCCATACTACTTAACATTCCGAGTATAGAAGTTATTTAAAGTAATAACCCAAGCCTAAGGATGTAAAACGTAAAACATCAAAGATAATCTCAAATTATTTTCTAAGGTAGTGCAACACCACCTACAAACCGAGTGTAACTCTACGAACAATTTATATTGGTTCCCACGGTTTTTAGACGGTTCGTAATCGRTCCTCATCTTTCAAATAAAATTTGGGCCTTTGATAGACCAAGCCACAATCATCCACGGTCTCTAAATTGTGACCCAAGTCTATAAATCATCTAAAGGTAATAAGTTCTAAGCATTAAGAGTATCGACACATATGACATATAACAATTTAAATAAAATAAGATGACCATATAGTATGAACTCACATAGTGGGATTTTGGATAAATCCCCCCAACATCTAGGCTGTTGATAGAAGTTGCTGTTTGGGAGCAGTGCACGAAGAAAACAGCACACAGCCTGCTGTTCGTTGCTGTTGCTTGCTGCTCGGCGAAGAGGCGACGAACTACACAGCTCGGCTGCTGTTTTGGAGGCTGTACACGAAGAAAACAGCTCCCAGTCGGCTGCTGTTTGCTGTTCGGCTCGGTACAGGCCGCCACGGACACGCCTGCTGCTGCTGCTGCTGTTCGGCTCGGTGCAGTCCGAGAAGCGACGAGAAAACGCAGCAGCTTGCTGCTGCTGCTGTTGAACCGAGAAAAGACGAAAAGAAACGCAGCAGCTTGTTGCCTGCTGCTGACAAACCGGGAAGAGGCGAGAAAACGCAGCAGCTTGCTGCTGTTGCTGTTGTTGCGAGAAAAGGATGGAGATGCAACAGATGATGCGGGCAGCAACCTGCTGTTGCTGTGGTTGGTCGATGCAACACAGAAAACGCAGCACAACCCTTGCTGCTGCTGTTGGTGGTCGAGGTAGCACAGAAAACGCCGCATGAGCCTTGCTGCTGCTGTTAGTCGGTCCGGGAAGAACACAGCAGGTCCGATGGTTGCTGTCGCTGTTGCACAGAAGACATGCTGCTTGCTACTTCTTCGTGGACCAGAACAAAAATCAAACTCCCCCTTCTTTTCTCCTTTAGATAACAACAAGAAAAAGGACGGTATGAAAAGAAGGGAAGGAACTCTTCCCAATGGGTAGGAGGTCAATAGGGTAAGGCCAAAGTCATCAGCTACCCCCTATCCCTATATAAATATATTTAAATTAATTCTAATCCTTTTTTTTTTTTTAAAGAAAAAGAAATTTTATAACCATACAAATAAAATAAAAGCCTAGGTGTTACACGTTGTGTCACATTATGTTCACAAGGTCGTCACAATATGTAAAAAAGTAGGCATTCACAATATGCATTCAAGTTCTTGCACAATACTTTAAGAATCTTCAGTTTTTTTGGTTTTTTGTTTTTAGTGTCGTTGTGTCACATTGTTCACAAGGTGATCACAACGTATAAAAAAAGGTGATCACAATGTTTAATTGAAACAATATATTTAATAGTGGTTCACATCATGATACTATAGATTTTTGTTCACAATTTGTATTCAAGTCCTTGCAAAATGTTTGTTTTTTGCTTTTTGATGTTTTTATGTTCAAATAGTATATTCACAGTTGGTTACTTGGTAATACTTGTTAAGTTATCCAATGTTTACACTGTGTTAGGTTACTTGTTTGTTTTACTTTTATTTCGTTAGATTATTTTATTAATGACAAGAGAGAAAATTTGTAAAATATTCATAATAATCTTTATATAAATTTTTAATTCAAATTTATCAAAAACTACTAATATCCTAATTTAACCCTTACTTTAATATTATTTATGATTTATATTGGATCTCACGGATCTCAAAATACATAAAATGTCTTCTAATAATATAAACTAAAGTTACAATGTTAGAAATACCTTGCATGTATTGGGATGGAGGAAACATTATCAATCAAGTATTTCAGGTCGTCAAGTGTTGAAATGTAATTTTCTTTCAAAACAATTAAATTTAATAACCGAGCGGAGAGAAGTTAGGAACATGTGATGAGACAAAACGAAAGCGGGACACTTTCACATGACCCCAGACCCATACTAGAAATATATTACGTCAATAACAAGTCTTTTGCCTGTTATGAAGCGAAAGATGTTGGATCCAGTTATGAAATCGACCAAGTGCCAAATACCCACTTGTCATCATCACATATTCAAAACTTAACCTGCTCATATTGGTTTATGTTGTAATTTTTTTTTTGATTAACCTGGATATTCAATCCGTTATGCAAGCCAACTAATCCCAGGACGACCGCCTGCTTTGCAGATAGTCCGAAGTCACCGCATTTGAACCTCCATAGCCACAAGGGGATTTCTATTCCTCCTTATATTTGAACCTGAGACCTTCTAGTACTTTTGACCATTGGAGCCAAACTCAAACAAATCAGGCACCACCCTTGTGGTTTTATTTTGTAAATTTAAAATAAGAAATATTGCAAGTACAATAAAGGCAAAAATTATATTATATAAGATAACCATAGTTGATGGAAAGGAAAGTATAAGCATTGATTTACATAGGACTACTGTAATCATGAATTGGCTGCAAAGTGGTTGAAAATGGTTTCAAGGGTTGATTGGCTGATGCTATACTCTGCTATCCCTAGTTGGTTTCTGTTTCGCTCTATGAGACCAAAAACATCGGCAAGTGAGACGTCTTCTCCACGTGGCAACTGTACAAACAAAGTAACGCTGAAGATTTACAACAACTACGTGTGGACATTTGAAATCAAAGTTGGAAGTATAATCTATGTTGGCCCCAAAACAAGTTGCATGAACCTCACAACAACAAACTGAAAATACTAGAAAAAGTATCGAGAATGAGATACCTGATATTTAACGCTCAACCCGTTGGAACCTTGAGACGTTGCCCCATGAAATGAAGATAGAACGAACGAATCTATCATTGAGAATTTCTCTTTTGCTAACCACCACTCTGAGAATATTGGTAGTGGGAGACCACCTGTATATATGTGAAGTACGAGTTAAAACCAACCACGGTATGAGTATACCTTGGTTGAGGGACCAGATATAGAGTTTGTTTCAAATACAACCCGTCGCATTTATACAACCAATGCAACCCAATAAATTGAGATATTTATGGAAATGATGAGAGTTCATTTATTATGATTTGAATATTTATGGAAGATGAATATGGTTCATTAATTATGATCAATATTTTATATTAAGAAACAATCAAAACTTCCATGAAATCACATATTAATCAAATGAAATGTACGGTTGAGATTGAGTTGTATTGGTTGCACAAATGTCAAGGGTTGTATAATAACCAACCCCTCTCTCTCTCTCTCTCTCTCTCTCTATATATATATATATATATATATATATATATATATTTGCAATCTCAAGTAACAAAAAATCGACACAGAATAGAAAAAGAAGTGTAACAGAAAGTACCATCACGAGCCAACTGCTCAGGTAATTGCTCATTAAAAGCCCCACCACAGCCAACAGGATCTGTAAGAGTCTTTATTCTTTCTTCGTTGCCAAGCCAGCGTCCAACCAAGATTATCATCTCTCTTGACAAACTAATCTCTGTGACTGAAGCATCTTCAGGTGTTATTGAGTCATCGCCACGAATACAAACTTCAAGGTCACCAAAGATGGTCCTTGGATGAGAAGGGATGTCAAACAGCCTTTCTTGAATCATCTGACAAAGGTTTTCCAAGTCTACAGAGCTAACTTCAGTAGGCTTGACCTGAATACGAGGTGGTGGCTGTTTAATTAAAATGCAAAATATCAATATATAATCATTAATTAATTAAATCATCAATTACCTCCAATTCAAGATGATTTCCAAATCGTGTTTTTAGATGCTGTGGACTGCCAATACACCTTAGCTTTCCGCCAACCTGAATTTACATGATCAGGCAGTTGGCCTAGTAGAGTTCATCGACTAAAATCAAATTAAAGATATTTTCTTCTTACCATTATCCCAATTCTTGTGCAAAGTGCTTGAGCTTCATTCATGCTGTGAGTAGTTAGAATGACCGCAGTCTTTCCACTTCTAGTTGATAGACGAGATATAACTTCCCACATAAACCGTTTTGCAATAGGATCCATTCCTAGAAAATCATCAAACAGGGTATGTAAATCCTATACTAAGAAAATGATAGATACAGTGCAATCTGTAAAAGTCAAAAGGTATACATTACAGACTTGGTGTAAACAGTGCAAATTCTAATGTGACAGTTGACATTATTTCTATTTGCACCCATCACATAACAGAAGTAGAATGTTATACAAAAATAGTAATATAAACATGTGAAAGAATGGTGCTTGGAAAATATAAAATGTCATTAGAATGACAGCTTATGGCCTGTAGGATGTGGTTTAATAAGATGAGATGAGCCACAACCAGAGGAAGACGTGGTTTCACATGATATATTTACAGGGCCTACAAAAGCAGCGGAGTAAGTGGTCTAATATGATGGGATAAGACAACCAAAAATCAATCAATTTCACAACCCAGACAAGCAATCAATAATCATCACAATCAACAAAGAGGTTTGATGTTCATGACAAATGTTGGGTTTGACTGAAGAGAACTCAAGAGGTAGTTAATCCAGAAGCAATGTAGCAACCTCAGACAATGGTTGTGATGGTCACATTCACTAGAATTTATTGACAAGGAGAGAATTGGTCATATCAAGATTGCTAGATGGGGAAAGCAAGGCCGGTCACACAAGGGCTGTGACAAAAGGTTGCGGTGGCCCACAGAAGCTACCGTAAAGCTGTTCGTTCATGGCTGATTATAAGATGAAGCTAGTGTTTTAGCAGAGATCTAATACCAACAAAAGAATGGTTCAGGAAATAAATAAAACATACATAATTACATTATGAGCTTATTAAACACAATATAGATCCTACGTTCCTAAATCTTTAAGATGTAAGATGTAGAAATGGAATAAGGTAAGAGTAATTACCTGTGGATGGCTCATCCATAAAAACAATAGGAGGATCTCCAATCATTGCAATTGCAACAGATAACTTGCGTTTATTGCCCCCACTTAGGGTGAATGATTGTTTAGTAGCATGTCTTAACAAGTCAAACTCTACTAACTTATCCATTACAACCTGCCATACAAGGAATAACTTATCAAGCGAATAAACCAACAAGTTAACCATAAATCAAATAACTTAAAACATCAGTACTTGCAATATTTTCACACATAATACATATTAGGATAGTTAAAATGCCACATGATGAATAGTAATTGTCGCCTTATTCCCATCCACACATAGGGTCCAGATAGAACAGCTAAATGAATCTATAGGGGCTTTTATGTGGGAAGAGCTTCCACAAGAAATGTACATTGCTAGGGATTCTACACAAGGGATCTTTTAGAGAACTAACCAATAAGTTCGTTTTAGTCGGTTTCGGGTTGTTCGGTTCAATTATTGGGTAAATAAAATAAGGTTTTATTTTAATAAGTTATGTTAAAACTTCATATATATATATATATATATAGAGAGAGAGAGAGAGAGAGAGAGAGAGTGATGAGAATCAGAAATTGGAATAAGCAATTTATGAAAGATGAATGGAAGAAATCGGATGATTTTGATTGAAAGTGAAAGGAATTACAATAACAGAAAAGAAACCAGAGAAACCTCCCTCTCTCAAAGCACTAAGCTAAGAGTCAATCACAATCTTTAGAAAAACTCACAATGCCCACTACGTAAAGTCTCCCCTCCTATTTAGAGGCAAAAACTGCTCTCCTCTGACCAACTTTGGCCACTTTCCTTTTCTGCCCTTTTGGGCCTTCTAGAATTGACCTGTGAAATATTTGGATTAATCTTGCTTTGGTCCAGTACAATTGGATCCGTATCATTACTCCTCCTTCCGAATAAAGTCTTGTCCTCAAGACTTGCTTCTAGAAACCGGCTGGTTAGAGCATCTTCCCACGTAGCTTCTTCCAAGGAACGATCCTTCCCTTGAATTAGCCATTGCAATATCGATTCATTGTGGACACTAGTGGTACGCACTGCTCGAATTGCCTCAGGAAACAGCATATTGGTGGAATTTTCAATTCCAATTCAGGATGGAGGCTTTGCTCCACTGTATCCGACATCACTGCCTTTTTCAGCAAGGATTCATGAAAAAAGGAATGCACTCTAGATGATCAAGACAACCTAAATTTGTAAGCAACAAGTCCGATTCTATCTACAATATTAAAGGAACGAACAAATCTCACTGCTAATTTTCTGATGTAAACGATGAGCCACAGTATGGTTTCAATTTTACATATATCCATTCTCCTGTCTCAAAGCTCACCTCACGTCGCTTCTTATCTGCCTATTCTTTCGTAATCGCTTGGGTGTGTGATAAATGATCTTCCATTAGTACCCAAGATTACTGGACTCAAAAAGGTACTCTTACTTGGGCAGATCATCCCAAGATTAAGGAGTTCCTAGTTTCTCATTTCAGCTTTCTGAATGTGGATAACAATAGGGACGAACACAAATCGGTTCGTGGGGGGAAACTAATGAGATTCCATGATCGTGAATACGGATTGGCAGCAGTCTGATAGGATCGAGAAAAACGGCTGAAAATCGAGTAAACAAGATCTGTAAATCATGTTGGTGCGCTAATGACGACACCACCTCTTGCTCTGAATGACCCAACAAAGGATTGGCCGGTAGAAGAGCTTGTGAAGTATCTTCCGATGACAACCAGGTAAGAAGGGAAGCCTGAGAAACCTGTGATTTGGATAACCCGTGAATGCACACTGAAGTTCCCTGAAACAGAAACCGCATAGATGGTTGTTCCCAGTTATGAATCACATCTCCCAAAGTCTTGAGCCACTCCATGCCCAACACCATATCCAAATGCCTCATATCAGACAATAGAGCATCAACTTTGAATTCACAGGTTCCTCTGAGACTTTCAGATTCGCACAACGTTGATTGATAAAGATTTTATGGCCATCACCAATTGAATGTTGATGCCCGAAAAAATTCAAAGACAGTCCCAACACGGCCACCAACTTTCGCAAAACGAAATTATTGAGTGGCTCCACTATCCACCAAAATCACCACACGAATTCCCGCGATCGCCCCTTCGAACTTCAATGATTTGCCCCCAAATGACGAATCAGCCGTTGCCTCCAAAATTTCCAATGCCGTATACAATCCGGTCGGATTCATGAAAGATGAATCGAAAAAATCGGATGATTTTGATTGAAACTGAAAGGAATTACAATAATAGAAAAGAAACCAGGGAAACCTCCCTCTCAAAGCACTAAGTTAAGAGCCAATCACAATCTTTAATGCCTCACAAGGCCCAATAACGTAATGCCTCCCCTCCTATATAGAGGCAAAAACTGCTCTCCTCTAACTAACTTTGGCCACTCCTACACCTGCAAAATATTTGGATTAAATATTGCTTTGGTCCCGTACAATCGGATCCGTATAAGAGAGAGAGAGAGAGTGAGGTTCATGGGTAAACCCAGAAAAATGAAAAACTGAAGAACACCCTAATAACCAGGGTTAGTTTCGGGTGAGAAGGGAAGTTATGGTGAGAAACGTAAGAAGAGATCTCCATCCTTGGATCAATCCTAATTGAATGTCAACACTAATGAGGTGCACCTAGATGCACTGTATCAAATGCCTATTAAAATGCAATTCATGGGTGGGCATGAGATTAAAAGTGATTAAGGTCCAGATCCTTTCTTATGCTTATCACTGTAACTTCCCTTCTCACACGATCCTTCGCTCTAATAACCATTCATCTATACGATATGCACATGTGCATAACATGCATACATGCATAGAGACCAAGAACCATCTTAAATTACTTGTATGCACATGTGCATACGGCAAAAATGAATGGTTATTAGGATGTTCCTCATTTTTTTCCCTTATTTTTGTGGTTTTCCCGTGCACCTGATCCTATATATATTGTAGAAAATCCGATCCCTTTGGATTGTGTCACAAGATAGATTTAGATCTATTCCTTGAGAGTTTGTTAGTAAGATAAAGTTGCTTTTTTTATTTTCTAGAACAAAGGACAGGTTGTTCCGGTCCGGTAGCTATAGATTAAATGTTCGCTGTAATATATTTGCAAGATAATGACAGAGAAAAACACCTCTCTCATTAATAATTTCTATGTGGTATCAGAGCAGTTCTCATCCCATCTCACCTCTCTCGACACATTCAAAATTGATGACTAAATACACTGGGCCAGCCATGCTGACTGAAACCAAGAGCGACACCTCGGGCACAAGCCGGAAGTCCAAATCATTAGGTCATGCTGCTGCAACAGAAAATGCCCCTTTTAATCAAGATCAAATGAAAGTCTTGCCAATGATGCTCCAAACCACGATCCAATCAGCAATAAGGTCATGCTGCCGCAACAGAACGTGCCCCTTTCAATCAAAGATCTTGGAAGTCTTGCAAAGGATGCTCCAAACCACAATCCAATCAGCAATAAGGGGAAATGCAATTGCTACCGTGGCTCAAAGTAACCACACACCGACCGCCGTAAAAAGCAAAGTTGAATACATGAGAGTGATTGTGGAATCCGGAGCCAACAACCATATGACACGAGCATCAATGTACTCGATAAACTCTCGCCACATTGGAGAGGGGCTAGTGTTCGGACTGCTGACGGGTTGATATCAAATTTGAAGGATATAGGTTTGGTCACTATCTCAAAGGACATCACTCTTGATTATGTTATTTAAGTTCCTAACTTTACTTGTTAGAAAGCTCACTAAGATGCCTCCTACTTCATGTAAATTTAAGGACTCGAACTAGACTCGGACTCGGGGAGGATGATTGACAGTGCTAAAGTGCGTAGAGATCTCTTCTTGCTAAAGATAGAGTCACTCGTAAAGCCACAAAGAAACTCACTTAGTACATGCTTTCAATCCAACCAACATAGGGATGATCTTCGCCTTCGACATTTTAGCTTATGACATTCTAATTTTGTGTACTTGAAAAAACTATTCCCTAGTTTGATTAATACAAACTCCACTCCCTTTCAGTGTGAAGTCTATCAACTTTCAAAGCACACTCATAATCCATACCTAATTCATCCATATAAAGCATCCCACTGATTCTATTTAATCCATAGTGATGTATAGCTGGTTTGTCACCTTTATTGATGACCACACTCGTGTCATAGTTCTAAATAACTCGTTATGGCGCGTTATGGCATCAAGGCTTGGGTTTGCTGCCACGCTAACCCCTGTGGCTCCATTCTAAGGCTTGACTCCATTGTAGCGCGTTATTACGCATTACAACGTGTTATTTTGTAAGGTGTGAAGGTTTTTAAATATATAATTCGAGGGATACAAAAGAAACTTAACAGCTAAAAGCCTAAATGGATAAATACTTACTCTCATTCCCATACACGAAGAGTCAAACACGAATTCTTTTAAAATTGAAGAAATTAGTGAGTTGAGATTCAAAAGATTTAAACTCAATTTTGCAACCTTGATATCATCTTTTATAAGCTCTATATATTTGGTATCAATGATTCTTCTTTATTTTTTAGTTTTATTATTATTCAAAACACTAACATACACAAGTGTTTGTGTCTATATATTTACATACATGTACATATACATATATATTATATATATAGATATATATATTGCCATCTTAGGGCACGCCTTGAAAAACGTTGTGGCCTCGCCATAACTCGTAAGGCTTGAGGCTTGACCTCGTCGCCACGCCACGCCTCACGTCATTTAGAACCTTGACTGATGTTACTTGGATCTTTCTCTTGAAAGGAAAATTTGAATGGAAACATATCTTTCAAGTGTTCCACAAAATGATAGGATCCCTGTTCCACACAAAGATCTAAGTGTTAAACTGATAACGTAACCGGATTTTGAGTCAAACTTATCTAAAGGATATCGGCAATGTCCACCTTAGTTCATGTGTCGGTACCCGCAATAAAACGAAGTTGCCAAGAGAAAAAACATATATATTCTAGAAGTTTTTCGCTCACCTCTCTTCAATTCTCATGTTCCACCCACATTATGGGGAGATGACATATTGTCCGCAACCTATTTGATCAATCACATGCCATTGAGGATTTGTAGTTTTCAAATACCCCTTCAATCGCTCGTGATCACGTGCCCTCATATTATTTGAATTCCATTTCCTCCGGAAACAACCCTTAGCAGCCTGATATTTAAGGAAGCAAAGCTAACTTAAGGGGGGCGAAATCAATAACCCAAAGCACCCTTTTTCACTGGAATCGAATGTCTCTCTTAAAGAAATCGGATGCACGGATTTTATCCATATCCACCACAAAATTGCAGCAAACTAGAGATTTAACATCAAGGAGAAGATGCAAAATTAACATATAAAGAGAGCTATCAAATATTATTGGGGAAACTAATCTACTTGGCACATATATATATAAGCTTTACTGTGGGGATGGGAAGGAGATACAAATGAACCAGCCAAGCAAAGACCATCAAGAGGTTGTATTCCACATCCTCCAATACTTGAAGCAAAGCCCGGGAAGAGAGTTGTTCTTCGGCAAGACAAAAGACAAGGAGGTAAAGGTCTATATTGATGATGAATGGGACGGTTCACGAATGGATGGGAGATCAACTGCCGAGCATTGCACGTACATTTGGGAAAATTTAGTTACATGGAGATGCAAGAAACAAGTTGTCGTCTCCAGAAGTAATGCGGAGAAAGAATTTAGAGCAAAGTGACATGGTCTCTGTGAAGGAATATGGTTAAGAAGAGTTCGGATAAAGCTAGGTGTCACTACTGCTGGTTCAATGAAACTACACCGCGAAAACAAAGCAGTTAGTGATATCGCAAGGGATCCTATACTTTACGAGAGAACAAAACACATAGAGTTGGATCGATACTTCATCAAAGAGAAATTAGATGGGGAAGAACTCAAGCAGGAATATGTACCTTTAAAACAACAGACTTCAAACATCCTTACAGAAGCTCTAAGATCGTAGGATCGATAGTCATACCCCATCTTCAGGGGGAGTGTGGAAAATCCGATCCCTTTGTGTTTCACAAGATATACTTGGACCTATTCCTTGAGAATTTGTTAGTAGGACAAAATTTCTTTCTTTATCTACCAGAATAAAGGATAGATTAAAGTTCTCTCTTACAAGATCGTGTTAGAAAAATCAAAATTCTGTGAGAAGCGTAGGAATGTTATAATTTAATGTTAACATAGTTACGCATGTTAATATGTGAACTTCCAATAACAAAATGCTTCTTATGCTTCTCACCAAATTGGTTAAGAATGTTGGAAATGTTAAAAAAAATGCTAGCATGCAAATGTAAACATAAGTTAACATGAAGATGTTAGCATAAGTAAAAATAAATCAACATATATTAATGTATCTTAACATGAAATGTTAACATATGTGAACGCTAACAAAGTCTTTCCTACGCTTCCTGCAAAATTTTCATCTTATACTAGACCTCATCCCTATATATATAGAGAGAGAGAGGGAGGTTCAGGGGAAAACCCCCAAATAATAAAAACTGAGGAACACTATGGTAACAATTCATCTATATTGTATGCACTTGTGCATACAAGTAATTGAAGTTATTTCTAGATTTCTACGCACGTGTGCATGTTATGCACATGTGCATAACATGCCAAATTACTTAAAAATTACATGTATGCACATGTGCATATCGTAAAGATCAACAATTACCATGGTGTTCCTCAGTTTTTCATGTTTTTGTGGTTTTCCCTTGAACTTGACCCTGTATAGATATATGTAAATAAATAGAGGGAGGTTGAAACGAGAACATTAACCAAATAAAAAAACAAAAATGGTCAAATTACGTGTAAAATCATATGTGATTTTACACAAACATCAATGCAAGGGAATGTAGGGGACGTGGACTACGACCTTAGGTCACAGCCAAAGTCGCTCACGTGATTTAGTGTAAAATCACATGTGATTCAACCGTTTTCTTATTGTCTTATTTTTTGTTACTGTTCTTGTATGAACCTGACTCTATATAAATATGCTTGTATACATATACACGCATACATATGTAATATATATATATATATATATATATAATTTTAATATAAACTTGGAACTAGGAACTTGAGAAGGGGGAGAAAAACAATAATGTAACCGTATGTAACCACCGAAAATTGATATTTTAACATAAACAAATAAGGAATTATATACTTAATTAGAGTATTATTCGTATAAAAATAACAAATAAATAATTAAGTTTCTAAATTCTATTTAACATAACCGAATAAAAATAACCGAAACCCCAATCGAAAAAACTAAATAAAGAATTAAATAGTTCAAGTGAGTTATTCACTTTTCGTTATCTTCGACACCCTTACATGCATCCAATCTTCATATGCATAAAATTATTTGCGCACATAACTTATTTTATAAGGTTATTGAAAATAGAACATTTCCCCATAGTTGTAGCGGTACATACACCTAGTAGTTTCTAATCAATTAATATTTCAAGAGAAATGACATTAACGACTTCACCTCTAAAATTATTATCTATTTAGAGACCCCTCAAGCAAGAAATATCCGGTGTCTCCCTCTCATGGAATCGAGCACAAAAAAGATAAAGCAGTGATATAAGACATACATTTTCAAGCATGTATTCTGGGACGCCTTTTATTCTTGCATAGAGCTCAAGATGTTCTTGGACAGTAAGAAATTCTAGCAGAGCATCAAATTGTGGACAATACCCAATCTGAAACATAATTCATCAAGCTAAGTGTTACAAAATAAACTGTATAGATGTACTCTGATCATTTAGAAAAAACCCTACAAAACAGGAAAAGAGAAAGAAATGGATGTACATGCTGGCGAGCAGCTTTGGGGTTTAGTCGCATATCTTGACCAAAAATGAATGCAGTTCCATCACTAGGATATACTTCTCCTGCAAATGATTTTATAACAATTTCAACAGGTCATCGACTTTATAATGAAGACAAACGTACTCCATCGATCCCAAAATAAGTCAACATTTACCATGTCCCGAGTTCAATGGAAGAGGTTGACCATTAATCAAATATCTAAAATACCCCACAACAAAGACAAAATAGAGAAACATGACGACCAAAATCAATGTTATTATGATCTTGTAATGAATACTAAAGAGGAAATAAGCAATACAGGAGAGAAAGTCCACCAAAAAAGGAAATGTTAAGACAATCAAAAACGGATTTTTTTTCATGCATTTTGGGATGTAGGAAGCATTATATATTAATAAAGCTACAAAAGACATTACAGCTCAAGTAATGTTGTACTTAGATGAAGAAACATGAGTGGATTTATCCCAAGGTACAAAAATTTGTGAAGGATGTTGAGAGGAAGTCCACAAGAATTTAGTCTCTAGATAAGTTATGAAGTTTCTATCTTGCACGATAACTACAGGTAGACATACCTTGGAGATGTATGAGATTGAGTCCCCTCTCCCACTTAACTTGAAACTTAAGAGTACTAATGGAAACAGAAAAAGAGAGAGATCACAATATTTGGTGAGCTGTATCTCCCTCACAGCCTCCACAAACATGTAAATATTTGGTGAGCTTTATCTAATAGCATTGAGAAAGATCACAATTTATGGGGCAATTAACGTTAAATATCACTTATAAATCGGTCTGCCGATAGATGTATTTTCACAAATTTGACTTTCTAAACCTAAAGCAATTTCAAACCTTTTGGTTAAATAGCATATCAAGAAAAACTACTAATTGGAGCATACTAAAACTTCAACCAAAAGCAAAGTGAATAATAGGCCATCAGAAAATGTTATCATGATGTTATATGTTGTTTCGAGCAAATATTTTATTTTATTTAGAAGTTCCCACAGAAAAGTAAAAGATGTGGTATCATTTCAATATGTTGCACCTGATAGCATAGACAAAGTAGTGGTCTTCCCTGCTCCATTTGTCCCCAGAAAACCAAAACATTCTCCTTCTTGAACCGAGAAAGTCAATGAATGGACCGCAACTTTCTTACCGTGGTTCCTTCCTCCAGGAAATACCTAATATACAACGTACATCAACAACATGAATTGCACGATGTATCACTTATGGGATAGGAAATGATCTCATTTGTACATATGAAATGATGGGTCAATATTAAGGGATAGGAAACGATCTCATTTCTGAAGATAAAATGAAGGAGCAGTATTACCTTCCGCAAATTACGCAAGTAGATGATAGCTTTATCGATGGAACCTGAAAGGACCCTATTCCGTTCAGTTTTGACATCTACATCTTCATCAAGATCAATAGAAGCACTGTCTGTGGAAGATCTCAGAAGGGGTTCAGAATATGCATCAGAAATAGTGGGACCGGTTCTTCTGAAACTTCTTAGAAACTCCAAAATGCTAAATGAAGTTAATTGGTGGGGATGAAAAAATTCAAGCCCAATTGTTAAAAGGAAATAAACGACACCCTGTAACATATAAAAGAAAATTTGTTCAAGTCAATTTAAACTTATGCAAAATGAATGTTCTAGTTTCATTAATCAATGACATTTAGTTCAAAAAGTAACCACTAAAATTCATAGGTAAAAATACGATCTTATCCAAGTTTCGAGTATTAATACAGATTTCAGCTTCCGAAGAAAATAAGTGAACTATAAAAGGAAGGAAACAAGTATAATAGGAATAGATGATTAAAGAGACCACACCGTTCTTGCTTTGAGTAGATGACAAAATGAGAAGGCATCAGACAACTATGGGCCACTGTATACACAACCTGATGTCTACTGAAATTTGAATTTGAAGTATTCTAAATTTCAAAATGCATGTTCGATCAATTATTAATTGGAAATGTCCACCAAGAGAAGATCTAGTCTGAACTTATACATAACATTCAAAACATAATGAACGACCTTATGATATGAAAAACTAGTTTATCACATCATATGGTTGTTGCATATTGATAACTCTCATTTTGAGCGTTATTTACACATTATTTGTGTGAGTTTTTCTTCTGTTTTAGTTGTGTTTTCTCTTTTTATGTTCGTGTTACTTCTTTATATTATTTTATTTTCATTTGGAGCTGTTGAGGATGTTTAATGGTTATATGCATCATTTTTGGTTAAATGTTGGATTGTGAAAGGAAGATGTAGATAAGATATGGGTAAGGAATGAAGATATGGAAAAATTTCTTGAAGATTTGGAAAAGATCACTTAAGTATGGTTCAAAAGATGAATGGTAATATGATGATTTCTCAAGATATCACAAGATTTGGGGATATCACAAGATTTGTTGAATAGTGCCCCTTTCACCTAAAAGTTTAAAGAGGTCTTTTTCCATTGGATAAAGTTCATCATCTTCCTTTTCCCTCCTATAAATAAGAGGCCTTGTTGAAACATTATAGGAGACTTCCAGCAATGTAGAAGTTCCAACAACTTTTTTTACATTTTATAGTTGTAGTTGTAATTTATTTTTCAAGTCTTTAATTTGCAGCTGCTGCCCTGTAGTAGAGAAGAGACACTGTGGGCACAGTTTGTATTTTATTTTCAACGCAATTAACTTTTAAGTATTTCTCTTCTTCTACTAAATTCTTTACTTTAATTATTAGCTAAGCACCCCGTGGGTGTGGGTGTGAGTTGAACTTAAGACTAGTAAACACTTGAGTCCGGACTTAAACTCAACGCGGATAAGTCGATCACTTTGAAGTATTAATATTAGATCTTTGACCTAGAGATGGGCGGATTCAAAATACGACTTAAGTGATGCACAAAGATTTGAGAAAGTCTCTGATAATCACGTAGAGATACGGGCTTGTATGATTTGCTAAGGTTCAAACTTTGGTCGAGCTTTATATCACAAAGTAATTTGGGTATAAATCTTCACACTAATCGAACTTGATATTTTATCAACTTAGACAAATCGGCAAGATTAAGAACCGGTAATGGTAGGCACTTTATGGGCACTTTGTTGGCAAGGTCTATACAAATTCCCTGTCGAGAGATCGAGATTTTTATAGACGTTTTTGTGACATAAAGTATTTGACCATCTTGTTACTACTGATCTCTTAGGTGACATTTATACCCATGCCCATTTTTTGTTTCTTGTTTATTTTTCGTTGTGAAAATCACCAAACTTGGCTCAAATATATTTTCTTTTTCTCTAATTGAAATCATTGTATTCTCGACCTACTACTTGAAACTTTGAAGTCCAATCTCTGTGGATACGATCTCGGTATTACTACCACTTTATTACTTGAAAGCGAACTCAATAGTGGTATATACATGCACCATTATTGTGCCACATTTACGTGTGTGTATTTTTGCTACCACATATCAAAAATTAACATATAAAGAGGACCACTTATGTATTAATTAGTTTCTCCCAATAGTTGATCCCTACACTTTTCTTGGATAGTTACAAATGAGGACTCCCCTTTTTATAGGAAGCTCCACCCCCTCCATGGAATAATCTAGACCCAAGAACATTCTAGGTTATCCAACACCGTGATGTATCGTCTACGACTTGATGAACAAACAATTGAATTAATATGGATCAGGAACAAAAATTGAACGGTTACAATAGAGTTCTAGGCACTTCGAAGACTGCCTCATGTCTCCCAAGGCTCTCGCCCAAAACACACACTAAACTGACCGATAAAACCCTAATGACCTAACCCCCCTTACTTATACTACCCCACTTGATACTACTTAGCATTAACTACTTGTAATAGTGCATCAGGCTCTTGTACCATAGCCTACCATATTTGACTATTTGACCCATTACCTATGGTATAAGAATACCTGCCCCCAAACTCTCACCTTATCCTCAACGTAGAAAGAAAAAGGAAGGAAATGATACACTACTTGAAAATCGAAGACTTGTAACTTTTGTTCCAAGGAATCTATCAACTTCATCCATACACCAACATGTGGAGACCTTGACCCCGTGATGTTTAGCCAACAAACTACCTTTTCCTTCTAATGCCATACCCTAACACAAATAGACTATGGATTGTTTAACCTTCCCAATTAGCTTCAAGAAAAGACAAACCCTTCCAATCCAACTTCAAGCCCCCCTCTAAAAAGCTCGTGTCTTTCATTCCAAGAAGAAGCCTACCACCATTATTTTTGCGCCCAACTCCAAACTTCCTAACCTCAAATTGCGTAGCTCTATAATCAATTCTCCGAGGTGTCAAATGTTCCCCATATCAATACAGGATAATAGCAACGGGAAGCTTTGACAAAATTGTCTTCCCCAATGACATTCCAGAGTGAACGACTACTTGACCCAACATCACAAACCTCATGATCTTGTTCCACTTAATTTGTGAGCGTCTTCCTCAGTGAATAGATGCCAGAAACGCATTGCAACATACACATTAATAGGTAATTTCTCTGCTTCCAAGTTCTGATTTAAGAGCATCAACTTGCTCTATTGTTATCTTTTGCAACGGTGAACTACCTCCAATGGAGGCATGTGCTTCTTTACTTTTTGTTGCCTTTAGAAGAGAAAGAAGAAGTGCTAAAGTTCGTTGTAGGAAAATAGACAACCTTGGTAGACTGATGATATCCAGGTCCGCGAATATGTTAAACAAAAAAAAATTTGAACATCAATAAGCGTCTGTAGGTCTCCAAGATTCAAACGCAATACTCCAACCCTTGGCTCCTCAACATGTGCATGGCATTCGTTATCCCACAAAGGATTTGTGCTTATCTCCACTAAACAAAAGGTTTTTCCCACAAAACTACTAATCAGAATGGGATCGTTCAATTTTAATTTCTGGAGGTTGTTATTTAAACCAGAGTTCCCAGAAGCTTCACTTTTAAATTCATATGTATGACTCCAAAAGGGAATTTGAAGTTTCCTATGAAACCTCACTGTATACTTCGATTGCGCTTCATGGTGGTCGAGCAGGTATTGGCAACGGTGGTGTTGGTGTTGGCGGCATCATTAGCGATGGTGGCGGTAGGGTGCATGGCAGCAGTTTCTTAAAATCGTCGCTTGCCCCATCTCTTCCATCCGTTGCGAGTTTGTGACCCCTACTAAGTTCACCCAAGAGATGAAAGACAATGTTGAAGTTTGGCCCAAGCTTCGGCCAAATAAGATTTACTGGATTAGGCCTGGGCAATGACAGATTCACCAAAATCGGTTTTGATGACACCTCTGACTCTAAGTTCAAATTTTCAATCTATGACACCTAGTAGTTTATAATCAATTACTTTCTCTGGGTGAACAGTGGAATGTTCAATGATGACAGAAGCGTCGACGACAACACCGTCGGCGATGGTAGAGAGGGTGATGATGGCAGCAGTTGAGACGGTGAAGAGGGTGTTAGCGATAGCGGCTTGAAAAGGCTGTCAACAAACCCCACCCTTCCTCTATCTCGATCTCTTTTTTTATATCTTCTACCTTCTTCCCTCTCGTTGTACTTTTTCCTTTCTCCTCCTGTAAACTTTTATGTATATTGTCCCTCTCCATGGTTACACCTGTTTTAGGGTTAGAAACTGTTCACCCAAGATATTGAGCAAAATTGACGAAGAATCATCAACTTTAGATCCTCCAAACGTCTAAAAGGTATCCTAGGATCCCCTGATCGAACCCATCGCAAGGCAACTCCTTGAAAGGAACTCATGGCCGCATCAATTTGCTCCTCTCCCCTAAGCCGATTTGATATAAAATACCTTTCTGTTATAAGGATCCACCTCTTTGGGTCGTTTTCATTGAAAATTGGTATTTCCAATTTCCTCTCCTTAATAGTGGAAGAACAATTTACCTCCAATTCTTATTCCATTGGATGCATCTTCCTGTTTTCCATCTTCATTGTAGTTTCTGATCCCCTACGCTCTTCCGCTTCTCCTCTTGGAGTTTAATCAACTTCTCTAATGGCTTCTTTATAGTCTCCATTATCATCTTCAAGGACTCGAAATCTTCCTGTATCTTCATGCTTTCTGACTTCATCTCGATTCCTTCCTGATCGTCACTGCTCTAATACCATTTGATGTACCCCTCATGATTTGATGAACACACAATTGAATTGATATGGAATAGGAACAAAAATTGATGGTTACAAAAGATTTCTAAGCACTTTGCGACTGCATGATGTCTCCCAAGACTCGCCCAAAACACACACTAAACTGATCTTAAAACCCGAATGACCTAAGCCCCCTTATTTATACTACCCCACTTAATGCTACTCTTGCATTAACTACTTGTACTATTGCATCAAGCGCTTGTACCATAGCCTACCAAATTTGACTATTTGACCCACTACCTAGGGTATAACGTACCCCTCCTAGCTCGGTAGCTCCCACAAGCATCTTAAACATTCTACATGATACAAGATAGATGTATCATTCTAGTGTTGCTTGGTGAATGCTTTCTTGGCGAAGGCTAGCGGGGCGTATCCGGTACTATCCTAGAGTGTTCCTTGATGAAGGCTAGTGGGGCGTATCCGGCATTGAAAACCTTGGGCCATGACAGTAAGCTAGTAGACAATGCTCCCAAAGATAGAAGGTTTAAAGAACATGAATCATGGCAACATCTTACTACACATCAAGGCTAGGTATCCTTTTTAGAACAATGAACGCAAAACATATGTTAGTGTCTGTTAATGTGAAGGCTACTAAGAACATGACATTACATTGTAAGAGCACATGCAGTGTAATATTCTATTACATACAGTGACATTATGTAGTAAGAGCACATGTAGTATAAGGTTCAAAAATTCTATTAATACTGGAAATGAAGGCCATCAATCAAGTAATCAGAGACGCACCTCGACAGCCAAATAACAAATAGATCCACCTGAGACATTCCACCCAAAATATCCACTACTTGATCCAATTTTCATTCCTTGACGTAATAAAGCTAGGGATGCTAGTCCATCAGCAAAGCAAAATCCTGGAGATAGTCTGAAGAAGTTCTGGTCCAATATGTTAAAGATGTCAGAAAACCCAAGTTCACTAATAGAAATATGCAACCACGTTTAGTAATATACTAGTCATTTCAATTGTAGCTCCAGGCCATACATTGCCATATATCAATTTTGGGGTCCAGGGATGGGACGGTTCAATCAACAAAATAACAAACAATTAAATAAATTTATGTTCATTTTTTCCTTTGGAAGATCAAATCAAATTCAGTGTTGTGTTCACAAATTAGCCCAAGGTTCAGGCCATAAGCACAAGGTTGAAAAATTCCGGCAGAAAGCTCAAAAAGCAACAGAAGCACTAAAACTCATTCACCCAAACAGTAGCAATGCAAGTGCTTTGAGTCTTAAGCTGACGCATCTTTAGCTAAAAAATGGCACCTAAATGATCTACACCGATGAATTACTATGTATAAAAACCTTGAGAAAAGAATTCATGTCTTGAGTCGCCGGTATGAATCCCATAATGAATGATATTACCATAAGAACAATCCCCGTGAAAAAGTGGACCAACAGTACCACGTTCTGCAAATATGATAAAGCAATCAGCATCAACAAAAACATGTTACATTATTGTATCACAATGTCATGCTAACTCTACCTGTGCCATACTGTGTTCCGAAAAGAAAAAGGTTAGGCAATATGTCGAAGATGCAACAGCAAAACCGTATCCTAACAGAATGAGGATGGTAGGAAATAGAGAATCACTTCCAATAAACTGTTCCAGGCCTACAAAGACAACAACAATTCTGATATATCAAGAGAAGACGGATAGTGCAGTAATGTTGACATGACAGAGTAGTGAAACATAGTTCCTTCAGTAAATTTAGATAAGGAAAGGCATTTTGGTATTAGCATAAATTACAAAAAAATAAATAAAAAAACCAAGGCAAACTATGGTGGTTTAGAAAAAGCAACCATTTGGACATTGTAATCCTAAACTTGAGTAATCAGGGGTTGGTGTGAAGTGCAGACCTAGACAAATCAGAATTATGCCATTTATTTAACTATTGAGATGAAACTATTATATGGAGTCATCAGTGACGCCATAAGAGGGTTTAACAAATGGATTTACAGAACTAGGATTCTTAAAGTATCTGCAAAAATATGTAAATATTAATTGTAGTGCTAATGTTGCTAAACAGAAGTTACCAATGATTATGTTTGTAGGCTTTCAAACGTAGCATACCCGCACACTATAAGATATGCATAGAAGCCAAGGTTCTACATATTCTTGTCATGTCATCTACCTCTACGGTTACCATTGGTAAAGTTAGAGTTGATGCAATCAAATTGCCAGGTAGATCCTAAAGAAGTATATAGACCCCAAAATAAATAAAGAATTCGACAATTGACATGGGTGAGAAAAGTCTGCAGAGTAATCAAAAACCTCAACATGGCTGAGAAGTGTCTGGCACATATGCAAGATGTATTGAAGTGACAGACAAATGTTGCAGTACAGCCATATGAAAGCTACACAAGGTATCAATACTACATGTGCAATACATGATAGAGGACAGGCAATTGATGTTGAAAGCCTAAGAGACGATCTAGCACTTTATCATTAAGCAACAATCACAAAAGCTGAAAATAGTAAACCTATGATGTATGGAGACCTTTGTTGAAATAGAATGAGAATGAAGGATAAAAACTTTAGGAGAATATGAATTTGTATATTGCTATGTTGATTCAATTACAATGCATGGAAGATATATATATATATATATATACATATATATACATATACATATGTATATATACAAGAGAGAAAAGAGATCAGGATAAGGACTATTCTAAAGCAACTCCCTGTTGGAGTCTAACTCTTTATAGGAGTCTATCTATAACATCTTAGCACCTTTCCTTACATATGAATCTGTCTACACTCCCCCTCAAGCGGGATAGTATATATTATACAATCCAAGCTTGTCTTTCAGCTTATCAGAGGAAGGCAAATTCAGTGCCTTAGTGAGGATGTGAGCCACCTGTTGAGTAGTAGAAATGTAGGAAATCTTCAGAATTCCCTTTTCAATCTTCTCCTTAATGAAATGCCTGTCAACTTCCACATGTTTAGTCCTGTCATGATGAACAGGATTATGTGTCATTGAAATAGCCAACAGTTGCTTTACAGGACCCTTAGCTCCCTTAACAACCTTCTTAGCCAGAAAGTTTCACATATACCTAGAGCAGCGGACCTTGATTCGGCCTCAGCACTGCTTCTTGAGACCGCTCCTTGTTTCTTACTTCGCCAAGTAACCAGGTTTCCAAACACATAGGAACAATACCCTGAGGTAGATCGCCAATTACTTAGAGAGCTTGCCCAACTTGCGTCGGTAAAGACTTCAATTCTTCGATCTTCCTAATTTTTAAATATCAATCCGAGGCCTGGTGTACCCTTCAGATATCTTAGTATTCAGTAGACTGCATCAAGATGGCAGTAGGATGGTGAGTGCATGAATTGGCTTACATAGTTGACTGCAAACGTGATGTCGGGCTTGGTATGTGCTAGGTAAATCAGTCGACCAACAAGGTGTTGAAATCTCCCCCTGTCATCAACTGGGACCGTGGATGTAGCATTTGGTTTGAGGTTAGGTTCCACAGGAGTAGATGTTGGTCTAGAACCCAACATCCCAGTCTCCATTAGCAAGTCCAATGTATACTTCCCGAAAGATGGTTATCGGTTCAAGGACGTAAGATGACCCTGCCTTTTCAGGGTAAGGAGTAGAGCGTTGAGACAAACTAATCGTAGAATTTAAAGCATGCAATCTCCATACCCAAGAAATCCCGGAGTGTGCCAAGATCTTTCATCTCAAAATAGTTGGCTAGATGAGCCTTAATTTTGGTGATGGCGAGGGCATGGTTTCCTGTAATGATAATATCATCCACATAAACAATCAAGATAGCAAATCTTATCATGCTCATGAAGATAGAAGAGAGTATGATCGGCATGGGCTTGGAGATACCCAAACTGCTTAACCGTGGAAGTGAAGCGATTGAACATGCCTTAGGTGACTGTTTCAAGCCATATATTGCTCGCTTAAGTCGACACACCTTATTGGGCCTGTCGGGTCGTGAAAACCAGGGGCAAGTCCATGTAAACTTCCTTGTTGAGCTTGCCATTTTTGAAGGCATTTTTCACATCGAGTTGATAAAGAAGCCAATCATAATTGGCAGCAAGTGACAAGAGAACCCAAAGGGTATTAATTTTAACCACGGGAGCAAAAGTCTCCCGATAATCGATCCCATATGTTTGTGTGCAGCCTTTTGACACAAACCGGGCCTTGTGCCGCTCAATAGATTCATTGCTCTTGTATTTGACCGTGAATACCCAGCGACAGCCACAGGGTGTCTTATCTCGTGGGCGGTCAATGAAAACCCATGTGTGATTTTTCTCAAGGGATTGCAGCTCATAGGTGTAGTTACTAGTTAGGTTTGTGTAACCAAGAAAATCAGAAATAGGATGTTGAGTGCAAGAGTGTGTACCTTTTCGAGTTGCAATTGGTTGATCAAGATCAGATGAAGAGGGCAACTCTTAGGGTGAATTAGACTTCGGCTTGACCTTTTTTCTTCGGCTGTATGTGACCCTAAGGCCATGGGCTTAATGGGCCTAAGTAATATATATATATATATATATATATCGTATTTACATTCTAACACTACTCATACTAAACTCAGATTGCTTTGCTATTTGAGTTTCATTTGCATTGGCTTTAAGGCTCTTTCTAACTACAGAAGAAGAGGTTACTTCAGATTCTCAAATTTGGCTTATCTGTTTGTCAAGTTGGTACTTGGTACGCTCCAACTTCTCTACTCGAGGAGCATTTGTTTTCGGTTAGCTGGATATGTGTATGCTCCCAGCTCCAACTAGAGCAGTGGTGGGTCATATTAATTTTAGATTTATGCTTATGATAATTGGAGAAACATTAGGGATATAAACATAGTTACATTTATTATTTTGTGAATAAAACCACATTAGACCTATTGGATATTTACTCGAAACTACGTGGCCTTCTTTTCAAGGATTACAACCACAAGTTTGTATTCATTGCAATATGTTATACTCTGGGTTAGAGGGCAGGTGGATTTTCATGTGATATCTGGCATCATATTAGGCATCTCAAGTTCAAACCAAAAAATCAATGGTGCAAGTGGATATGCCCATGAATCATGTATCCCTTCACAATATAAGTCCCTAATGTAATTGTTTTAATTAATTCAATGAGGAATCAACTATTTATGATGATAGAACTTTGTACAAGACGAAAAATCAGAAATAGGAGCTAAAAATTTCATGGGGCTTGTAGCAGACATCCTAAAACAGCATACAACGGCTTGCTGCATTCATCTTGCAAGAGGGTGGTGCAATAAATATAAATTATTCAAGGGGAGCATGAATAGAGGTGCATGAATCAAAAAATTCGGTGAATTTTCAAGTTCATTTTTTAGATAGATTGCGGTCGAAGATTTGGGCATTGGAATTGTTATTATATACAGATACTACTGATGTAAATACTTACAATATGCCTTGAAAAATGTAAATAAAACGGGAGTTGGGAGACTCACCAAAGATGTAGAAGAGAAGCATTGCAAAAGAGGAAGGAACTAAGAAGCTTATGAAGTCCCAAATATATGTTGATACCCAATACGACAATATGGAAACCTGAATATTAGTAATGGTAAACTAGTTAAAAGAGTGAATTCTGAAACATATATTGCCAATACAAATGTCGTATCAACAAAAAAGAAGAGTTAAGAAAAAAAGCATACCCCACTAATTAGTTGTTGATGCTTTGCTTTTACTTCACGCTCCTGCATAAAACATGTATCACCTTAACAAAATCTCGTAAACACAAATTATTTTTTACCGGTTTACTGGTAACACATTATTTTTTACCAAATATGGCCGGTAAGTCAAAAACTTGACCCACAAATGCTTACATATTGAAGCAAATGCCACCACTTGAACAAGATTCCAAAACAAGAAGTTTGAATAAGCAAACCAAACATGCCTCGTATATCCCACTCAGGGGTAGGATGTATGCAGATACTAAAGTGAATTGTGTTGTTTCATAAATCATTATGTGCAATTAGGTTGTTAGGGTTTCTCTTCCATTGGTCGTAGGCCATCGTCGTAGTTCTGACATTCTGCAGCTTTCTAGCAATATATTATTAAAGGAAACCTGTTCTACACGGCATCAAAGCAAGGTCAACCCTATGTGTATAGCCTAGAGTTTGGCTGCCTATACCGACCTACTGCTACTGCTGCCCGTTTCTCTCTCATTCTTGCAAAACATTCATCCCTCTCTTTCTCTCCATCTCTCTCAGTGGCCACCATCTTTCTTCTCTCCCAAAACTACAGCACTCAGCAGCTGCTTCATTTGAATGAGCCCTTCACCTGTTCCTGATTGCAAAACCCAATGGTCTTGCTCCTTGTTTTGACCCTTAAGTTGCTGTTGCCTGTTATTTTAAACAGGTGCAACATGTTATATTCTGCATAGAACGCTGAGTCTAGGACTTGCCTTCTGTTTGAGTTTGAAACAGCAGCCCCTTGATTCAACTTTTCTGTTCTAAAAGGTGGTAAAGATTTTTCGTGGTCAATATTCTGGTTGTTTGATTTCCTGGCACCATGTCTGGTTTGGACTACAAAAGCAGCCAATTTTCCAGTGTGATTTTCTGGTTGTTTGTTTTCTGGAAGCTGTGGCTCAGTTTGGATTTCACTTTTGCTTCATGCTGATGCCTCCTTTGTCCTCGCAAATAAGATTAACTTGGTATGTTCTCAACTAGTAACTGTTTTGAAGCATGTTTTGTTTGGGTCTCGAGTTTTAGCGTCCAGTTATTATTGAATAGTTGGTTACCTGGTGGATATTTTATATTTACCATTTCGCACTAGAACATTGATGTTTTTTAGAGACTGATGAACGGAAGATGAAGAAAACAAAAACACCGCTATAACAAAAACTCCCAGACCAACACCTAAGAGAGATGAATTATAGGAGAAGGCCAACACAAAACTTGGATGAGGAACAGGCTCCACATTCAAACCTCACCCAAAGGATAGTCTTACACATATTTGCATATACAAAGCCACTTAATCAGTGTAGAACCCAATTACCCAAACTAGAGCAGCAAAGCGTCACCATTACTTCTTCCTAGATAACTTAGGGAATTCTCCATCAACTTTAAATCCATTAATCGAAGGTGAACTTGAATAGCCAGTGGGTCTACCTTCCGAGTTTTGTTAAAAGTTCTGATTCTTTCCTGCCAAACACAGTTAACCATGGGCCGGAGACCAGCACTTAGAAAATAGCCCATATAGACCTTGATTTATGGTAGGTGAGGATTATTAGTGTTATTTTTGTGCCTCCAAAATTCATGAATCAGAGTTTTGTACATGCATCGATTGTACGAGACCATGGTCATGTGACCTAAGGTCGCCGAGGTACGTCGTGCAGCATGGCTAATCGATTCCAGCAAAACTATGGTACATTTTCCGTGACTTACGCACTGGTGTTTTAAGCGACCTCAAGTCCTGTCGCGTTGACTTCCGCGAGCATCCTGGCCAGCTGAGCAGATTGCATTCGGCAAGCTTGGATACACAGGCGATCTTGCCATGCGACCTTAAGTCATATGGCCAAGTAGCATATGTGGTCTGGCGGTTTATATTACCCTTTTAGGTCCTTTCCATCCGTTATATTCTTCCCAATTTTTACCCTAAATGCTCCCAACACCAAAAATGAACCAGGTCAGGTGCTGGTATATGAATATTTCTTCATTCCAAGCACTGTAATCATATTTATTATTAATACACTTCTCTTGGTGATATCCACCCATGGTTTTCACCCATTTTGAGTTTCCGCGTAAATACAGGTGTTGTTCTCACTCCCCTCCCCTCCCCCACTCCCTCTCTCTCTCTCCCCCTCTATCTACTCTTTTATTTTGCATCAAGGATATTGCTTTCTTATTTGCTATATATTCTACATCGAGGATTCAGTTTATCTTTCCAGTTTCCACATTACGAAGTATTGATTATTCAAGATTTTGAATTCTAGGGATTCTTGGCTTTTCTGTCCTGTTTGACTTTGACTTGGTTGAGGTTGTTTTCTCCATATAGAGTAGCAACTAGTATTCAAAAGTCGTAAGGAGCCAACAAGAGATATGTTGATAAGGGACGTCTCTTTAAGGGATGCAAGATTCTTGTGGGTTTGGTTCTCTCGATTCTCCGAAGTCACAAAACTAGAGGGATGACTCTCAAAGTGCATATGACTATTCTATGTCGCATTATCAGAAAATTGATTACAGGATTATGCCAGTACTCTATGTAGATATAGTTTAGTTGCAGAATAAAAGTTTTAATATAGAAACAATTTTAGACTAAGAACCTTTGGAAGTCTCAAATGCTCTTGATATTCTTGTTTGTAGGTATGCTCAAGGCCAGAGCAAGATTTAGATTCAGGGTGATCCTCTTAAAAGTTATACTAATTAGTCGGTTAAAAACCTAATTTGATTCAACATTATAGATATATATTTTCGAAAACATAAAAAATACATTAGTCAAAGATGTGATTCTAACTCTATAAACCTAAAAATCCAACCGCTATTCCCCTAATCTTGACTTTGCTCAAACAACAATCTCAGTTCAAAATAAATTGGAAAAACACAAACCAGAAATAGTAAATTGAAGGAATAAATAATTTAACTAGAAGAAAAAACTAATTAAATCTGCTCAATCTTGATTGAAATAGGTTCCCGAAACCATTGTTCTTTCCAAATCTCAAGGCTTTTTTGTTTATTATTTAAATTAAATGGACATGGGATAACGGAGAGCATAGAACCCGAGTTACCAAGTAGCTATATAAACTCTTTCCACAAACTTGAGGGTGGTCCTTGGCTCACCCTGGGCCAAGGGTGGCTCCGCCACTGGGAATGCTTGATGGTCAGGCAACCCATTCCCAAATGGTTCCAAATGTCACGTCTTTATCCGAAATATAATGTTATTGAGTACCAAAGAAATATAGGTACTTCTCATAGCTACTACAAACAATATTGCCTTCCTGGTGAGCATTTCATGTCTTCCGCACATATGTTTTTATGACAAAAGTTTGGGAAGTAGCAAATGATAAAGACGATCCAACTGGAGTCCATGACCCGCCAACTTGAACATCTTATATTGCCCTAGTTTGACAAGTTTTTATAATCACTTCGCCTACAACACTGCGGTTTCACAAGATTGACCCTTCAAAGTGTAACTTTCATGTGTGTTGAAGCTATAAAGCATCTTAGAGTGTACATTCCCGTTTTTAACTAGATCTTTTTACATCTTCTTAGAACATATCCGTAAGTGCACAACGTTATGACCCATCTAGGTATGCTAAGCAGTAGTTAAAGATAAACCATCTTTTCAAGTGATACAAATAAAAAGACAAAAAAGACAATTGGAGAGTAACTTACCTTCACAATAGCGACAGCGAATGAAGCAGGAATGAAGGAGAAGGCGATACTCACAACAATTGCTGCAGAGAATGCATCCAGGTCCTACAATTCATCATAAAATTCAGATTTTAAATACATATAGGAAAGAAGGCAGCACTATCTAATATTTATAAATAAAATCAGTAGAGTAGATACTTGGAACTTGAATTTCACATAATCATTCAAATGGAAAATAGATGAGATGTATAATATATCCATAATTAAGAAAGTACAATGTAGATACATATCTTAATGTCCCTATTTTGAAAAATAATTACCAACTACATATGCATCCAAAATAAACAATCACTTTGAGAACTATGTTGCTGTTAATTGTGGTGCAATAGCGGTTATCAGTCATAAGAAAAATAGCGGTGGTAAATTGTGTTTCGAGAATAGCGGCACAATTTACCGTTATTTCACTGATATTTGAGGTAAAATAGAGGCCCACAATACCGATTTCTCAGATGGGCCTCGTTCGAGAGATGTGAAAGAAAATGATGATTGGGTGGTTCCGACCGATGTTGAGCTCCAAGAGTTTGAGGATGCAAGAGATGACCTCCTCTGGTCAGATGTAGAGAAGCAATGGGAGGTAATGAACAAGTCGGGCCAAGTACAAGAAGTAAAAGGGAGCGCTATAGGGATGAGGATGATCATCATCATGTTGGAGATGAAGAGGAAGAAGGGGAAGATTAAGGAGCTAACCTAAACGAAGAAGTGAACGGATTAGATGATGTTGACTTTGCTAAACATATTGCTTGTGATTAGCTCGTTTACGAACACATATCCTATTTTGTTTTGTGAAACTTGTTTAAGTTGATGTTTTGATGTTGAAACTATTTTTTTAATTAATGCATGTAATATGTTAAGTTATGTATGCATACATATATTGTATATATAATTCTAAGAAATATTATATGAACCACTATTTTTGGACCTCTATACCACCCCAATAACCGCTATTTCAAATCTCAGTCCTGACCGCTATTTTGTATTTTGACCGCTCAAGACTATAGATCTCATATCTTTAAATTAAGAAAAATTGCTACACCAAGACGACCTTCATGGCTCTACAAAAAGAAACTTGGAGAAAAAATATAACATATACCATATGCATAGAAAGTAGATGTTGCCTGAAATAAAACAGCATGGTCATGCACATATTATAAAGGATGTTCTATTATAAATTTAGAATCATGAGAAATATTCTATATGGATGGGTAAGAGGTCTCATCATCTATTGGGAGGATTTAACCATAAATAAAAGAATAATATACTTGACGTTGCAGGCGCTGGCTTTGTGTCATTGGCAGTGGATGATTACGTGTTTGTATGGTCATATTCCCATTAAGTGTGGCAAGCCTAAGAATTGCCGCATTCATTAAATTGATAAAGGTTGGAGCAGCATGCTGACAAGTGCTGTTGTGTAGAACCGTGTACCCTATACTACCATCATCATTCTGTGCGTCCATTACAATAGCCCCATATCTGCATCAAGATGAACATAAAGCTGATAAGTGTTATCAATTTAGTACTAACATGCTTCCAAATGCAAGAACTTACGTAGGTACCACATAGCACAGAACTTATGACTACCACACGATGAATTCATCAAAAAGCAAATGCATTCAACTTTTTGCATGGACATAGAAAAAGATCCTACAGTAAGTGCAAATGTTTGCGAAAGCAAACTTTCTGTCAAAAGAAATATAGGAAGTAGATTATACTATTGTTAAACATTGACAGCACCAAAGGACTTTACAATCTTGCCTGTTACAACAATTTCTGTGTGGGTGAGGTCATATTTTGTTGACTTTTTGACTTCTCTCTTTTTGGGGCGTTTTTGATCTTGCTAGGGTTTCCAGTTCATAGAAAGCTCTTGATGCTCTGCATTTTTTATTCGTAATTTCTTGCTGTTAATCTAGTGCTGTTAATTTGGTTTCTCTCCAAGTCACATTTGACGAGTGGTTCGAGAAACAAAGCTGGGAAATTGTCTACGGAAATGGCGGATGAACAAGGATATGAGATCAATGGCTGCGAGCGTGACTGCTAGGAGTGGTTTGGGTGCAGAGGAAGATCATGGTGGAAACCCTAATTCGGAGTTGTTGTGTGCACCGAGTAACAAAGCTGGAAACCTCCTTAGAAGTGCCTGATGTGATGAATATGGATAAGGAACCAAAGGTTGTGATACTGAAAGAAAGGAGTTTTCTGCGTGGCTCTCAGGCACGCTCGATGGGGTTTGGGAGTGCCCTACACCGTCCAAGAACGGAAGCTATTTAAGGAACAGAACCCAACCAGCACCCAGTGGCTGAACCCCTTAACAGGTCTACAAATGGTTCTTCCTACGTTCGAGCTGTTCGTGAAGTTGTGGAAAAATAAATACAGGTCCTTTTGTTATGTTAACGAATCAAACCACTTTTGTGAACCATAGTAGGCCTCCTATTCAGGGTATAAAAGAGATGGAAGATACTTCCTTTGGAGGTTTCCTCTCTGCATATAGAAACATTAACATAAAGAATGTTAAATCAACAATTCTTCCAAAAGCTCATGTTGTTAAGTCCTTATAGTACTATTAACCTACAATATTGTTCCTGAGATATGACCCCTGATTGCATGCCAAAAGATATGCCAAAACATGTTATTAGGCACACAGTAGATTGCCAAGCACACCAACAAAGTACAGGAAACAAATAATGAAGTTTTGAGGGCAAACATTTTCCCTAGCAAAGCCACTCTTACATAGGGCAAATATAATATTTCAGATAGCCAACTGATTTTTCTTGTGAAAGATAGAGGTTGTAACCACTGGGCCATAGGGGCCTATATAAAGGAACTAGAAATAATGGGTCCAAGACACAGCCTAACCTATCACCAACTTTTCAATCTGTTTCCTGTACCTAAAAATCCTGTATAAACTCACAAAATCCTATTAGTTATTAGCCTAATAAGCCTATCTATCTATCTTCGCATTCAATAAGCTGAATGGGAGCAGTGTTATGACAGTGTTTAGAGATGATTAATATGAGCATATATTGCAGAAGGCACAGATCCCATCTGCAGTTGGTGGAACACCCTTTGATTTACGATAGCCTTTAAGCAAATTGAAACATTATATGCCCAATCAACTTCAACCAGGCAAACTGTGAGGACCTTTGCATCTAACCTAATTCAAAAGAAAAAGCAAATCTACAACCATATTGAACTGCAAGGGAATATATGGCGTACCAAACATAAAGAATGTTCAATATAGAAAAGTTGCAACAATTTTCTAAATTGTACTGAATTAACGACGCATGCCAATTACATCTTTTGTTGAAAATAACACTAAGTTTGTGACATAAATCAAATCCAAACTCAACGGAAGCATGATATCACCAAATGCAATAAAAGCAACAGAAAGCTTCAACATACGCACCTTGACTCATAGGATTCATTGAAGCTGGACATCAGGTACTCACTCATGGAAAGAAGGATTGGCCCCAAAGTTGGCCCTGCTGCCTCAATAGCATCTTCTAATGCTTTGCTAGGATCAGGAAACCTATATGTGCTCTCTTTAAACCTTTGAATCCAGCCCCCTTCTATATAATGTGAAATCTGTTCACCAAAAGCACACAAGATGAAAACATTACACAAACAACAAAAGGTAAGCCTGAGAAAAAGAAACAAGGACATGAAAAGGAAGGATACTTCTTGCGCGACAGGCAAAGATAGATCAAAAGGAATGGGACCACCACCCCCTTCACCACTAAGTAGTGGATTGAAGTAGGAAGTTGTGAAGGTTATGGACGGTTGATCAGGATGCGGCTTTAGTTCTAGCAGGAGAAGACCAATAAACAAGAACATAGCAGGAATTAACAACTGAAAAACAATTGTCTTCCGGTCTCTGCGAGCAGATATCCCCCTCTTTATGAGCAATGCCTTGGAATGTTTCCAGAATGTTGATCTCGTAATGACAGAAGGGAAACAACATTGCAAACCTACGAAACTTAAAAAACTCAAGGCTGCAGCAAGGGCAAGAGTACAGGCTCTACCAACTGCGGAAAGCATTAGCCCAACCACAACTATATAATTTCCAAAAAATTTGGAACTTGATCTTTTATCCTCAACATAACCATTACAGGTTTGAGACGGAGTAGAATCAAGCACAGCAACAGTAGTTCTTCCCTCCAGGCACTCCTCGTCATTGATGTCACATCCTGCAACTCTCAAGAATACCTCCTCTAAGGTCGTCACAGATATGCCATAACTCTCTATACCAAAATCTGTGCAATCCTCATGCTCCAAGCTTATTAAGTGAGGATCTGACTTTGACATGCAGCTTTCAATTTCCCTAAACATGTACTCAAAGGAAGCAGAGGATGCCAGAGGAAGCTTGAAGGAAATCTCAGTTCCAACCTGTATCAACAGACCGAAATAGTAAACCAACTGAATTAAAATCAACATCAACAACATGGAGGCATACATATCTGATAAATGCAGACTAAAAGAAGTACGTTGTAGACAAAGAAAATATTGATCAAAATGCTTTTCAATGAGTTGTTGAGAGAACATTGATCAATTAAAGTAACATCAATTAAGCAACCATAACATCTCAGACTGTAACATTTAAGCATGTAAAGTCTGAGAAATACTTCGCTCACGCATGTTGCTGATGGAATATGTTTGTAGACAATATCAGCAGCTGCAGATGCCCCGGGCGAAGTCTGAAAATAAGATACAAAAAGTGGATGTAAATAAATGTGAAAGAGTAATATATTAAATTAAACCACAATTAGGAGACCAAAGCAACTTGAGGAGCAAAGATAACACACCTTCACCAAAGTAAGAGTATAACCAACCCCATACTGATGCTTCAAGAAGAGAGAACTGCTCAAAAAAGGAATATTTAATATATAATCATTGATGTTTCAGCTTAAAATGAGCAAACCAGAGCTATTACGTTCTCCTGCTTATAAATCTTCTTTCTGACAATTATTGTTTTCTCTTTAAAGTAAAAAATTAGTAATCCATCAATGTAAAAATAAAAAACAATAAAATAGGAGACTATAACGTTAGCTAAAAACATAAATCAAGAAAATATATATCGACATCGCATTAACATTGAGAATGAAGCATAGGTTTGAATTTGGAAACGTAAACAAACTTTGAGTACCATAGTAAGAAATCAAGTTATTAAGAAATCGATGGTTCTTTATTCTTGCTTATGCATAAATGCCCAGTGATGTAACTTGTTACTGTTAACAAAAACAGTAAAAGATATGTTTTAATGAGCTACAAAAATCACAAGTCTGGATGTTTGCACAAAACAAGGAAAGTTGATAGAAACCTTCCGCAGCATTTCAAAGAACCATTAGCCATAATTGCTATGCGGTCGCCAAGTACATCAGCTTCATCCATCGAGTGTGTCGTTAACAGTATTATCCTACCTTTCTTTATTCTTTTGATAAGTTGCCATGTCAATCGCATGGAGTATGGATCCATTCCACTAGTTGGTTCATCAAGAATAACAACCTAAGAAAAAAAAGAACAAGAATTATATGATTGACAAACAAATATTGCACCTCACTTATATCCACACCTTACCTTACTATCTCCAATCAATGCTATGCCAAGGGACAACTTCCTTTTCATGCCTCCAGAAAGAGCACTTACGTAAGTATTAAGTTTATCTGCCAATCCCACCTAATAGCCAAAGAAGGTTTTGAAAACAACAGATGGATATAGTTAAACTAAGCAAGCATACATATTCCCCTTTGCTAAAAGCCAAAGAAGATTTCACACTGTTCTCCATCTTCATTTATTTTCCTTATTTTGCTTCTTAACAGAAAATCAACTCGGATAAATCAATCGAATTTGTTGAATAAGTAATATTATCATATAAATTAGAACCACTTTCCATCATCATTTTGTGGCTCCCATCTCCACTCCTCACATCAACAAAAAATTGATGGAGATAAGTGAGCAAAACAAATGAAGCCTAAAGTTATCACAATAGATATATTTTTCTCTTGTGACCTCCAACTATCAAGGACCTCAAAGAATCACAAATACCTAACCTAACGAGTTTTATTAAATATGAGCTACAAAGAGTCCAGGAGCAACCTGTCACCAATTCCATGTTGGGTTAAGATGAACTATTAAATCTAGTGAAGCATGCAAAAAGTAATTATAAAAATCCAGTTGACAACATGCAATAGTATCCAATCACTCATATGTAGTTACAAATAAGATGATGAAGCAATTAGCATTGAGGCTGATTAGTTTCAGAAAAGTGGGATCAACATATAAATTAGTGAAATAATAGTCAATACGATGGTCCAGATTTTTAGCTACATCTTAATTCAGCAAAGTAGAGGATTAATCATATGCAGGGTGCCATAATATATGATTCAGGAAAGATATCATGAGTTAGTGATTTTAAATCAAGCAGAACCAAATAGTAACAGGTCATAACTATGAGTTACAGTGCAGACTTTAAGGGAATAAACTATCTTAGTATAGTTCAGGAACTAACTTCGTCAACCATTTCAGTTACACTGCTCTCCATGGATTCCTCGTTCACTCCTTTTATATTAGCAAAAATTTCCAAATGTTCCTTCACCTGAATAAGTAAAGTTCAAAGCCAAGTTATCATCTGCAAGGATATCAAGAATGAAAACATATGCCTTTAAACATGTCGAATAAGATAAAAGAACTATGAAAAAATTACAAGAAACCCTTGCGTCAGGGCTGGCCCTATGGTTGGGCAGCCCGGGCGGCAGCCCAGGGCATCCCAAGCCCAAGGGCATCAAATAGCCCAATATTAGTTGTATAGTCATTAAAAATTAAATGAAATTGTTACTAGAAAGATTTGAACCGGGTCATCTAGTATTATTGCTAGGTGTGCAACATGTCATCAAGCTAAAAGCCAGTTTCATCAAGGCTTGTATACTCCATTACCTGTTCCTTCTCAACCATGGGAAGATATTTCTATGGATTTCATTGTGGCTTTGCCCCGTACTCAACGTGGGAAAAATGCTATAATGGTTGTGGTGGATCATTTCTCCAAAATGGCACACTTTGTTCCATGTCACAAAACAGATGATGCCATTCATGTTGCTGATTTATTTTTTAAAGAAATTGTGCGTCTTCATGGAGTCCCTAAAACCATAGTTTCTGACAAAGATGTCAAGTTCTTGAATTACTTTTGGAAATCATTGTGGAAGTTATTGGGCACCAAGTTATTGTTCAGCACTATCTATCATACGCAAACGGATGGACAAATGGAGGTAACTAATCAAACACTCACAACCTTGCTAAGAAGTATGGTGAGCAAGTCCTTGAAAGATTGGGGCATTAAACTTTCTTTTGCTGAGTTTGCTTATAACCGATCTCCAACTTATGCTATTGGATGCACACCATTTGAAGTGAACTATGGAGTGAATCCTCTCACCCCTATTGATCTGATACAACTGCCTAAGGGTAGTGAAGTTCACTTTGAGGCATCAACTCGAGCCAAAGAAATGCAAAAGATTCATGAACAAGTCAAAGCAAAGATTGAACATGTCAACAATTTGTACAAGAAAAAGGCCAACAAGCATCGCAAGAAGGCTCTCTTTGAACAAGGAGATCTCGTGTGGTTGCACTTAAGGAAGGAAATATTTCCTTTAAAACGGAAGAACAAGCTAATGGCGAGAGGAGATGGACCATATAAGGTGTTGGCAAGGATTGGAGATATTGCCTACAAACTAGAGTTACCTGGGAATACAAACATATCAGCAACTTTCAATGTTGGAGATCTTTCTCCTTATCTTGAAGATGGTCCATTGGAAGATTTGAGGGCAAATCCTTCCCAACCAGAGGAGGTTGATGAAGTGGCATCCATGTTATTTTCAGCCGGTACAAGACCAGCCCATTTTATGTCTCCGGCTCACCTTGGGTTTGATTCAGACTCTTATTTTGGGTTCGAAACAATTAAAGGGAGGAGTATAATTTTCTGCCAGCCCAAAGGAGATTAAGATTCTTCCGCATTTATGCTTCATTAATAGTCCTTTAATTGTTTTCCAACTTTTGGTCTTCCTTTAGTCTTCTCATTTTTCAAGAGTTATGTTTATCTACCAGCCCTATATATGGGGTTCCAAGTTGTAGCTGGAAAGCATCTTTTTTTTTAATAATGAGTTTACAATAGCTTGTGAAGCTGTTTTGAGTGTTCATACACAAAAGGAATCTATTCTTGATTGTTGCTAGTGTGGTGTTGTTGCTTTATCACTAGTAACATCAACCTTCGCCAATTTGGTTAAATCTTGGTGGCATTTAAGTACTTTATCCTTGATCTAATCAGATTATTAATCTCACCCTAGTCTTATCCCTCTTTTTACCCATCCACCTACGCATCAAAAGGGATATGTTAGTATTAGGAACTAATAGTTAGTGGTATAGAGAATAAAGAAGTTAGCTGTCCTAATGTTCTTATGAAGGGGTGAACTAGATAAATGTCACTCAGCTGAAGCTTAAGAAAATTTGGGAGGGAAAGTTGTTGCAGGATGTGTAAGTTGGTGGAATACCTGAATAGGGCAACCTCAGACTTCCCTCCCTCTCTCAATTTCTCTTCTAGTCATCCTTGTTCTTTCAATCAAGTAAATCAAGTTATAAAGGGCCTCCAGTCAACATGACACAAGATGTAATACCGTTAGTGGTTCTTTCCCATTTTCATCAAACCAGCAAGCGATTTGACACATCAAGGGGCATCCAGAGGGTTGTAGAAAGCATGCATATAACAATGTTGAATGATGCTAAACAAGAAAAGTAAACAAAGAGAAGGTGCAAGACTTCTAAAAATGTTAAAAAGGAAAGGCTTCAACAATCACAAAAAGGGGATGTTGATAAAATGAGAAACAAAAGAAAGGAAACAATATCCATAACGGTCATGCAATATGTTATCTATTAACGAGATGAAAACTTAATCGTCTATACAGAATCAATCATTTGTGCATGATACTAGTTGATGCCGATCAAAAAATAATCAGCCAAAAGAAACCCACAGACCCAACAAAAGGTGCTTGCTTACCGTCAACTCTGGGAAAAGGATGTCATATTGGGGACAAACACCCAAATTCTTCCGTATGTCATCCTGCAGAAAAATAAAATAGATAATAATAGTAATAAGAAGAATAAAATTGTGACTAGAAATTTGAAACAATTTTCCACAAAAGCAACTTATTTGGTGTACTTTGTGAACGATAACCATTAGTACCAAAGAACAAGAAGTAAGATACAACAAGGCTGCAAAATATTCTTTCTTTTTGTTACAATCGAGCCCAAAACTTGGCACTAGGAGACTGAAAGGAAAGAGAAATGATAAAAGAAAGAACATAAGGCAGCTCATTCAAAAGACTATGCAGAGCATAAGTTAATATGGTAACTCAATTTATGTTGTATGCCAACAGTAGATGCTTACATCCACACAACAAAATATATGTATATATATTATAAAAATTCAAAAACAAAGTTATAAAGAACAAATAGAATTTTGGTAACCATAGCTACTGATGATGACTCTTTCATCCCTCTGATTCCATTATGACATAAACCGTGTTTTTGCATTATAACGCCTATGCTCCTTCAGTAAGTGAAGCTCTCTAAGATTCACATGAAAAACATGTAATGGGAAGAAAATAACACAACCGGTATGCCTGATCATCATTTCCATGAAATGTCGCAGTTTAATCAGTTACACTATCAAGAGCTTTTTACAAACCCCTAAATCAATTCACCCAAAGATGCATAAAAAGGCACAAAAAAGAGAGAAGTTTCTAGCACTCATGATAATATAGAACCAAAAAACTCTGGAAAACAAGTTTACCATGTCTGTTAAGATACTTCTTCCAAAAACCAAGGCATCTCCAGAAGTAGGAGCAAGAAGGCCAACGAGCATGGAAATAGTTGTGCTCTTTCCAGCACCATTATGTCCTATGAAACCAATTAGCATGTATTTCAATATAGAAAAAGCTACCACTCAAAGGCCAAAGCCATAAAGAAATATAGCAGAACAAAATGAAGATTATATACACATAGATATCTAATGCAGCCCGATATATTATATGTAAATCTCTATAAATTTCATTCTGATGAAATTATAGCACCTGTACATAAAACTGTGATACATCATGTAAGATGAGATATACATCAAGTAAAGTGGAATGCAGCTACCTAGAAGTGCAAGTAGTTGGTTTTCATATAATGTAAGCTGTAAAGAATCAACAGCGCAACACTTCCCCTTGCTGCTACTATACACCTTGTGCAGGTTCCTGATTTGGATGCATCTGCAGAAACGACATGGATCTAGAAAATTACTTCCCAAAGAACATGGATGTAAAAACAATTACTCACACAAAGAACATGGATATAAGAGAATATGTATGAATCTACAATGGAGCGATTGTCTATCCTTTACAATCCTTACTATTTCATCAAAAGGCACCAGCAAGCACTCATGTATGGCACTACACATATGAGAAAAAATATATGAAGTATGACATGTTGAGGCAGAGAGGCTGGACATTTTAGTTTCTAACTGTACATAACAATGTTCCTATGTTGTATGAATGCTAAAATAAGTTACAAAAGCGCCCTCTTCCAAACAACGTATGACAGGGAACAACATTATGTATCACGACATTTATTGTAAATACTTAAATTTTTTGACTTTTAACACTATACTTGTGTGTGTAACTTTGGACATTGAACGAGCTACAATTCTATGTAATCAGCCAATATTTTCAGAACCCTTGAACGTTGTCTCCTGTAATTGAAGGTTTTATATAACCTGCATTCGATTTTCTTTGTCTACATTGAAGGTAGTTAGAAAAAAACATATTGAGTTGCAGGTGACGTCAAATACAGAAGAAATCAGTAGAATAATACGAAGTATGATTATTATTGAAAATATGGCCTCTAGACTCTACAGGGGTTATATCATCCTAGTTCCTAGGGAAGCAATCAGACAGGTAGAACAATATATATATATAGATATATATATATATATATATATTTATAAATGTGTGTATGTGTATGTGTGTATGCAAGCTAGAGTACATAGAAATTCATATTTAAGACGTCCACCTGCCATCCACCTCTTGCTGCTTCATATCTAAGCTTATCGCTTCCATTGTCGACTGAGATGAAGTGCACTTCTCTTGATTATCACCATTAACTTCTAAACTAGAAGCAAACTGTTTATTTGCATTTCTGTTCCACCAAAAGCTTTTTGGCAAGATGAAGTTCCATGGGTACACCATTCCATTCTCCTTATGAAGAACCTGATTAGGTAAACGTTAAAAATAAACCTTTAATTAGTGTCTAATAAATTGATAATTGCCCCCACAAAGAGGAAGATGTGAAAATACATTGTGCTCTTATTGGGATGCTCATTTTATATTGATTGCTACAACTTCCATTACAATAGGTATGGCATGTTAAGAAATGAAACCCAAGTTCTCCAATGAATTGACAAAGACCATATCTTGTTATACCATTAAAAGTTTGATACAGGTCAATGGCACCTGTAAAACTGATTTTCAGCAATACAGATTCATTGATTTAAGATCAAAAAACAGAAAATATACCTTATCCAGATACAGGCCAACTGCAAAGTACAGTAAAGAGTCAAGCACCATCATAATCAGACAGATTAAGAAGCACACTCCAGAAGATGCCTACAGGGTAGAAACATAGTCAGTTTAGATATGAATTAACCAACATATTTTTGAAGTGGGAAAGTGAATGGCAATAAAAGAACATACCCGCCAAATGTTGCTCCAACGGAGTCCAACATGTGCACGCTCATAATCGGCAAAATTGACTGACCCTAAAGCAAATGCTGTTGGTGAAAGCAAAGAAGCCAATATTTTTAAGACCCTACAAGTAAACAGATGTCCATTATGAGCAACATACATTCTGAAAGAGCTTCTGGCATCAATCATTGATCACATTATCAAATCAACCCTGATATTCTCATATCTTGACAGCTTACATCGAAACAGCTTCATCATTCACTGTATAATAGGGAAAGAAGGCTCCAAGAAAAGCAAGTGTTCCAACTGCCACAGCTGATTTTGCTCGTGTGAAGAAAGTAGAGATCAGGAAGGATAACATTATCGCACTGAGTCCGAACAGAAAGAAATACATGAATACCAATGACTTATCACTGTATTTAAACAGTGTGCCCATTGTGCAAACAGTGATGACTCCGGATGAAACTGCAAACTACAGAAAACATAAATCATAAGAAACAGATGGTAGTCACCTAATATAATCAATTAAGGCTTGTATAAATGGAACCTCTACAAACTTAACTCATGTTATGCACAAACATGGGAACAACAGTAATTCCTTTTAAAAGCAAATCACCTGTAAAGCGTACGTAATAAACCAAGAAAGATGGAATATCTCATCCTTCAGTCCCATCATGTAGAGGCCTTCCTTTATTTTCTGCTCCTGAAGTATTAAAGTCCAAAGCAAGCTCAATATAGAACATTCTGAAGCAACAAGCTAATTGGTAAACGCAAGAAACAAGTATACATACATAAGAAAGTTGAATTTAGTTGGCATACACGATTAATATAGAAACCATGAGAAATATATCAAACCTTCTCAAAAACCGAATAGCTAATTAGGCGAGAGATTGGAAAAAGAAACCCCAATAAGTMCCTGCCATTACCAACTATGTCAAATAGATAAAAAAAATTCCTTCTGATAGAGAAGGAAATATCTACAAGAATGATTCTACTGAATCACCAAGCTCACAAAATACCAACATAAAATATGGGATACATACAGGATTCCCATGACATCCTTGATGATGGACTGGAACTCATCATCAGTATATTCACGAGTTGGAAACGGAGCTAGCCTTATGGTTGATGGCGTGAATTGACTCCACGGTATCTTGAGTGAGTTGGACACAATATATTTGGACATTGGCGACTCACTTGGGTCAAAGGTGTCGTCACTTACTACATTAGCCGCCTTTCGTTGTGCATAGAAAATGATAAATGAATCCATGACTTGTTGGAGCTGCAAAATAATGAAGAAACTATTAGAGCACTATAGATCCCATCAAGCAATATCTAACACTAAGCAGAAAGGACTCTTCCTATCCTATATAAGTCTTTTCAGCTAATTTGGAGAAGAATTTTATACTTAAAAAGCAATAACAGTTATAGCTTCGTCTTCACCACCCCTCATTTAGCATGTAATGATATAATTAAACTTAAGGAGTAAATAACCCAGATCAAAATTTGAATCATACAGTTAGAAAACCGCTGTAGCCATACTGCAGAATTGGTATCTGATTGAGGCCCAGTTCCAAGTCATTGACATAGGGACCATTAATATCCATGATGTTTTTAACATCTGGAAATCCGGAAAAAGCCCATGTGTGGTTGAGACGAATGCTGTAGTCATATAAATTAGGACCTTGACCATGAAACACTATTGCTCCTTTGATTTTTGGATTCGAACAGTTCCTATACCAAGAATAAACAAACCGCTTTAGTTATCATATATCAAGCTAAAATCACACCTAATATGATGAGGGTGCCAATTATACCAATAAACTACAAACAAGTGGGGAAACGGCCCTTCTATCAGTTCAAACACAGTTATACATGAGCATCATGAAATTCTCAAAGACAGCCATATAAGAGAAATAAATTAAGCACAAAATTTTCAGTAATCCTTAAAATGCTAGGTATGTGGGACTGACGATTTGTGTTTTCGTATAGCGTCATTTTGTCTAGTCAACGATGTAAAGAAGAGCAAGAAAATAAGTAGTAATCGAGAAAGGGAAATAATAATAATGGGATTCAGCTTCCAATGTTACTGGCCACAACTAATGTAAAGCAAATAAGTTAGTTACATATTCTATTTCTAAGACTTTTGCCAACACTATGTACTTGATTCTACAAAAATGCATATAAAACCAAGTCAAATACAGCATAATACTTAATACGACCAAGAAGTGTGAACAATTAGAGGATTGTTCTCCTTTAATAGTGGTCTATCAACACCAGGAATCTTGTTTATATTTTGTTTTGTAGAAATTATCGTGTACATATTTTGCTTCCTAAAGTTTAGGTGTAGATTTGTATGTCCTATGCAATTGCTATTTTTTCCTCCAGAACAACTTGTATAAAGACCCATTAGTGGCCCAAGTAAACTATGAGAAATACAAAATAAAGTTCTCTCTTGCACAACATGTTTCAAAGCTTTAGGCACGTTTTCCTGGGAATTTTTTCTAACCCTAATCAATGATAGTATCTCGGCCTCAATTGCCACATTCCAATTTATTATTGTCGTTGACCTTCATTGTCGACAGCCACGTCAAAGGACGTATTTTTCTTCTACCTCCAGACATTACCAAAATGCAGAAGACCAAGTTCCAACTCTATGAGTAACTTGCGGAATATTCAGGCAGTCTGTAGAGTCAATAGTTGCAACTATCTCAAGTGGTCTCTCAACCTGTTCGGGCCTTTTTGAAAGGAAAAGGGAAGTTGGGCCATTTATTGGGAGTTGGCTCTAAGAAAGATGCAGATAATAAGATTCCATGATGATGTTTTGGGTGTGAAATCTCATGACACATGAAATCAGTAATACCTATATGTTTCTAGTTTCTACCTAGCAAAAGCCATCTTGTAAGCCCTGGATCAAATGTATTCTAAATTCCATGACACGGCCTTGATTTATGAAATCAAGACCAAGACTAGTTGAAATCAAGGCTAGTTCCTAAGGGGGTACACAGAGATATGGAGTTGACTAGAGGAGACTTCTGTGTGGTTGCAAAATATGAACACTATGAGAGTCTCGTGGTCACTTGAGACCGGTTTTTAATGGGATTTACAACAGTATGATTTAAATAATGCTAAAGTTGTGAAAACTGCACCTAGGCGTTGAGGCGCATAAGGCTCAAGTTCTGGGGCTTTTTGAAGGTCGAGGCCAGGCGTATTCATGAGGCTCACTAAGGCGTTTGACCTTGACTGCGTATGGGCCTAGGCTTGTCTTCTTGGGAACTTGAAAGAGAAAAAATATATGAGCATTCCACCTAGGTTTGGAGGAAGCAAAGGAGACAAGGTACGTAAATAAGGAAGGCCTTGTACAGCTTGAAATAATTACCCCATGCCTTGTTGGGAGGTTTATCAAAGTGATGTTATCTAGGGGATATAGGCGAAGTCAAAAGAGATCACACTCTTCTCATCATGCAGGGAAGTCATGGCTGTCATAGTCTATGTAGAAGACATTATTACTGGAAATGACAAAAAGAGAAAAGAACCTAAAGCACTATCCGACCAAAGAATTTGAAATGAATGACTTAGGAAGGTTTAAATATTTTCTTGGGATTGAGGTAGCTCATTCCAAACAAGTGATTTTTATTTCCCACCAGGAAAACATGTAACAGATCTTCTCAAGGACGCATTCTAAGCTTAGACAGGGTATTAGAGTACAAAAAGTAAACAAAGAGATGTATCAAAAGATGGTTGGGAACCTTATCTATGTCATCTACAACTGACCACCCATAGCATACTCTAAGTTTCAGAAGTCAATTCATCAATCCCGAGAAAATTCAGCTCCAAGTTGCATACTAGGTGTTGCATTACCTAAAGCCTAACCCTGGGAAAGAGAGGATGAATAAGAAAAACTCTCACTTGTCTTGATGCCTACACAGATGTTGTATTCTGAACAGGTGGAGAAATTGAGCTTGAAGCAATGGCACAAGGTGCCTATGAGTTGGTATGGCCAAAAATTATATTGGAAGATTTGAGATTAAATGTGGTGGACTAATAAAAGTTTACTATGGCCACAAATCGGCAACTAGCATTGCACATGACCTAGTACAAAAATAACCAAACTAAACACATCAAGACAGATGTACATGATGCAATTCATCAAGGAGAAGCTGGAGAGTCGGTTGATCCACACTAACCATATGTTCCCTCAAGAGAATTATTAGCAAATGTTTCACATGGGGACTCAAGTGTGCTAGATTCCAGGGAATCATTGCCAAGCTGGAAATGCATGATACTTATTTACTAGCTTCAGGGCAGTGTAAAAAATACAAATGATCTTTCTCCTAAATAGGTGTCAGTCAATACCAGGAATTCTTATACCATGTTTCCTAGAAGTTAGCTGGTAGATATTTTGTGCCCTAAAGTTTAGGAGTAGATTGGTATGTTTCGGTAGTTGCCATCTTTTTCCCCGAAACACCTTGTATGAATAGCCCATTAGTGACACTTCCAAATTATGAGAAATTCACAACACAATCTCTCTTTTCATGCATAATTAAAGGTATTGACAGCAAATCATGACTTTCCACATGCTATGCCTACTTTTTAGTAACTTGCCCACCAAAAATTCGACGACATTTTATGTTTGAATGGTGCCAGAAAATGCAAACAAGATAGCATAAAGAGAAAGAGAGAAAGAAGGATATCACTCACTTCACTTCACTGCAAGCAGCATAGAGATTTGATTTTAAATAAGTCTCGAGCTCTAATTCATCTTTGTATACTTTTGTAACCAGCTGCAATTACGAATGTAGAGTTATATATAACAGAGAAACTAAACTTTAAAAACCACCGGACTATCTCCAACATAAACTTTTGGTTCTCTCCATGACAGAATTAAGAAAACATTGGTCTTATAAAAAGAGTCCTCAAAGAAAATGGTTTTAGGCATTCCCAAAAAGCAACACTGCTACAAACTTATGTACAAGACAAGAAACCTGAATCTACAAACAGAACAGAATATGAAAAGTAAGCAGCGTATGAAATAGTACTGATCATAAAATGTTTTAATATAAAAAGTATTTTCAAGTTCGCATGTGTGGCTTAAAAGTAATGGAACAGTAGTAAGCTGTTTTTTCATTTTTCAAGACAGCACTTTACGACCAAAATGATGGTTGAATAATATTCGAAGTAACAGGCTTCTTAAATTAATAATTTCCAGATACTATATCTTTGTGATGTGCTCTCTCAACTACAAGCAACATCCAGTCACCTGCTAACAAGTATAGAAGCGATATTCCAGAATTTCACATGCTTTGTCAGATTATACCATTCTACAGAATACCGAAAACAGGCTACGGCACTACAGATGAGGTGAAAATCTTAGCAGGCTACCAAAGAGTAATATATGAAAAAAGTTTAAATAGGGTCATAATGTGATGTCTTATAGTTCGGCATCTGGGATAGCCAAAGTGGAGCTAGCTACTCGTTAATAATTAATTTGAAGTGCGTAATCGGGTAAAGAGCAGACGGGGTTGCCAATGAATGGCAATATGCATATTTTAGTTACCATTCAACTGTATTAGATATTTAATTTCTTTGAATATATGTCTGCCAGCATGAGTGGTACAATATAGGAAGCATAAAGCAAAGGCATGACTGCTATGTAGATAATAAATTATTAGAAGATACAAACAAACATCAAGTAATTAAAAATCATATGAAAACATCTAAACGGTATAAAGATCAAAGGAGGGATATAATCCTTCTAATTGACACTTGGCGTAATCTAATGGTATTCAAACTCTCGCAGGTGGATCATGTGGTGCTTAAATTACGCCAAGTGTGACTTAGAATGAATTTTTGGAGTTCAATTAGAGGGTTATAGCATTATTCGGTAAAGAATGGCAAATACCAAAATATGAAACAAGATTATCAGTTCAGCATACCTTCATTAAGGAAAATTTATATGATAAAATGTCAATCATCAACCTTGTATCACTTGTGTTAGGTGCAAAAGCCAAATATTCACCACTGGCCAACAATGATTCCAGAACTTGATTAAAAGTTGGAGATATATAGCTCTTCCCCACATCCACAAATGTCTCTTTTTTAATGTACCTACAAAGATTTTGCAACATAAGGTCACTCCCCAAAGAAGCAGATAATGGCATCAGATAAAGCAGGCTAATCATATTTCACTTGGTCATTTTCACGCATCTTCATCAACTATCCTTGAAAGTTGAATGTTCAAAGAATGTGAAGCAAGAAATGTATACATGTGCTTAACCTCACATCAGCTATGCTTTTGGATAAGACAAAAGCCTTCAGATTAGTTCTCATTTTATTTTTAGTGAAGAAATGTGCTACAGACTATCTTACATATACAAGTTTCTGTTTAGATCAAACTGAAATCTTGCAGTCCGGTGACTCATATAACTGAAATTAATATGGGGGAGAAGAAAATTTCTCCAACTAGTAGTGGGATCTAAAAAACAGTAATAGAATCTGTGCCTTGTGGTTCTTGAGTGATCAATCCTTAAGGGGTGCCATTTTTAACCAAACATGGAAATGTCAAGATTTGTATTTAAGCTTCGGAATGGAAAAGAAATTAATTGATAAACCATGGAGATGGAATATAGACCGTAAATACATACGATTGAGCAGGGTGGATCTTTGTATCAACTTGTGTCCTTACGGCTATTAACATTAGCATCACCACCAAGGGAAGCAGAACCTGGCCATAGAATAGAAAAAAACGTCATGTTGTCAAGTTCTAAATTCTGCCTATTGCATAGATGAAGCCCCCAGTAGGACTAAAGCTGCAGATAGAAAGCAATAAAACAATTCACTCCACTATTAACTTCTTAGATTTCATACCGAGAGTCAAATTCTCATAACTTACCCCCTATTATTTCCTCAAGAACTTTGAGTTTCAATATTGTTATAAATGTTTAACATCATTTTTATGGCTCCAGATATTCTGAAAATTTATAAGTACCGCTTTGATGAAATGTAGTTTTAATACTGATTACTTTTAATTACAAAAGAAGTGCATCTTAATTGCATATCATATCTGTACTTAACAAGGAGAATCAGGCTGGCAGAGTCTTTCCGCAAACGGTAAGTAAATACACAGAAACCATCAATCTTACCACAGAAGTCATCTTTTTTTACTTCTTTTTTGAAGTGATATGGTATCGTTATGAAGAAAATGCTGTGATAACAAACATTTTTTTTGCATAAGGAACTGTAGGGCGTTTGATGGTCACAAAATTTATACTCTTCAATGAACTATATACCAAAGAAAAATTCAATATTATGTGTGTGTGTCAATCAAATTTATGCCTTCTGGCTAGGTGAACATAAGATGGAAAACGAAACAAGGAAACGTATTCTTTCAAAAGAAAGAAGATTAAGCACAAAGATTATCAGGAAAACCCCAGACCAGACATTCAACTGACAGAATTCAACAGAAAGCATGATAATCGTTTGGAAAATAGCATATTAAACTCGAATTCAACAATAAATCCAAAGTAATCATGTTTGCAAAAACACAGAGTGACAAACGATTGATTGAATAACCTCGGCAAGAGTGATATAAGGATGACGAATTTTTAGAAGCCAGTTCTTCCGAAGCATAGCCTTCAGTTGTCTCCCTGAACTACTATTCATCTTCTTCCCCTTTGTCCGTTCCTCCATTAGAATCCAAATCCCTACTCTGCTACCAATTACAATTAGTAGCAGATGATTTTAATGTAAACGCCAATGTGTGTTTTTGAGTGAAACTGTGTGAGAGAGAAATGGAACTGAGAAAGCGAAGAAGTTGAATTATGAAATTTGGAAGTTGGTGCTGGCGAAGGAGTTTCTCTATATTCTTCCACTCCATCATCAATATTCCTCCTCTCCGTCATCACGTTCACGGTGCTCCGTCAACAGGGTCACAATTTTCCTTCCTAAACCAATTCGGAGTTAACGGCACGCATTTCACTCTATACGTCGTTCCCTTTCAACTTTACACCACTGTGTGTTTGGTACCCTGTAAAATGTGGGACAGGACAATTGTCCTACAAACCCAAGACAACTTAATATAAAATAACTCAATGTTTAATTGAGTTGTAAAATATTCAAATAGATGGGTATCGGATTGAAACTGAATTACGGTCATTTGAGTCCAACTCAACCTGATAAATCTGATATCACTTTATTTCTTGGATTTAATATGATTGTTAATACAGTATTAATATGTACATTAGACAATTACATCATAACTTACCTTCTACATATACATATATTTTCAATCTCGTCTCAGTATTTATATAACTCCTTGTATATGTTCAGCAAATGTGAACATGTATAAATAAATTGGGAAAAACAATTGAATATGATATAATTAAGAAGGAGTATGTATAAGTTGTACCAAATGATTGATTATTACAAAAAAAAAACTACATATTCAAGGTAACGAGAATAGGAGAATATTTTGATTTACCAAAGTTTCAACTCAATCAACCTGTACGGTTTGGTTGGTTGAGTTGCACTTCGGTTTAGGTGGGTTGAGATTTTTCAAATTGCAAACATTGGACTGAGTTGTTCAAATATCTTAAACGTGTACAAAAAACCGTCAACCTGCAAAACTCGTCCAACACAACCCAATTAAACTCAATCTGTCAAACCACCAACATGACAAACCGCGAATTAAGAGGGTTGAAATTGGGTTAGTCGTAGCTCAACTCACCCTACCCGTCGCTAATATATAATTTCTATAAACTTATATATATATATATATATATATAGAGAGAGAGAGAGAGAGAGAGAGTGTGTGTTTAATTCATTTGTTAACCCAAAAAAATGTATTAACTTTATGAACTTTTTAAACCAATCACAATCTATTTTAGTGTGAGGTTCAATTCTATCCAAAGAATTAATGTTAAGGGTATGTATTTTTTTTATATAACTCCTGTATCATTAATTGGATGTTATATTATCATAAAATCCCATGATTTTTTTCTTTTTAATATTGTTCTTAATTTCAAATATTTTTAATGATTTGGTTAAGAGTTGAGTAACATAAATTCATTATAATATTTTATAATTTTGTGATTGGTGGAGGAGACCCGGTAGTAAAATGAACATATTTTCCAGAGGTGTACAATATGCATTGTTTGTTAACATAAGTGAACATATTTTTCATAGGTGTGCAATGTTCATTATCTGTTAACATATAAAAAGATGAAACAACCAAATGAACTTTTGTGAATAGATCATATCACATGTGAACATATATGAACATTCAAACACATTGTTCATAAGCGAACCCATTGTACATAATTGTTCATGAGTGAACTCATGTTCATATAGAGGGGGAGATGCCCATGTGTATATTAATGTTCATAATGATAGAGATTTTGTTATAAGATTAATATACATAGGGAGCGGTTATAAAACATTAATATACACATGGCAGTTACAAAACATCTACGTCTTTCTCATTTTTTCCAATAATACTTTTGTTCATATATGTTCATCTTAGATGGTAACGTATTATATTATGAGTTATTACAAAATTGTCATCATAAATGTCATCCATTGATTTACAAAATGAATGGTTGTGATAAGTTCACAAAGTTAACACCATAAATTGGGTTAACAAAAGAACCTATTTATATGTATATATATATATATACACACACACATATACATATATACATATAGGTGGAGATCCAAACGAGAACACCTTCATTTTACGAGAATGCAAGAACACCCTTATCACATGTGATAATACACGTGAGGGAACCTGGTGGTGTGCGGATAACGTGCTATGCGACTTAGGTCGCGCCAAAGGTCGTCTGCGTCTATGATTTAGCATCACATGTGATGGTCTTGATGGATTATAGTATCACATCAAAAACACTCTTATCACATGTGAGGGGGCTTAGTGGTGTAAGGACGACTTGACCTGCAACCAATATCGCGTAAAAGTCGCTTGCATCTCTGATTTAGTATCACATGTGTATCATCTGTGATGAAATAATAATATCACATGTCATTGTTTATAGTGAAATGGTGTTCTTATTCTCGTAAAATGAAGGTATTCTTGTTTGAACCATTCCATATGTATATATATATATATATATATATATGTGTGTGTGTGTGTGTGTGTGTGTGTGTGTGTAAAATATTCATTTGAGAAGTGGTAAATATTTGAGAAATAAAGAAGTATTCTAAATCTTCATCTGGTCAATATTTGCAGTTCTAATCGTGAAGTACCTGAAAATTCTTCGCATGGGTAGAGACCTCTCCTTCTCAGGTTATCCCATTTTTTGCTTGAATCCGGCCATCAACTTCTTCAACTGCTGATGACGCTGACCTATATGGTGTGTTTTTCGTTCCTTTTGCTTCGAGCGCCCTTTCCCCTCCTCCGCACTCAACTTGTTGTCTTTCCTATGGCTTAGACCCTTTCTGTGCCATGCCGAAGATAGAGGGGTAGTTCGTAACTTTTATGAATAGACGGCAAACGGGTTCATACGTAAATTTGTTATTTGGTTTACATGTGAACTATTTAACTGATTCATACATGAACTCATGGGTTCATATATGAATCAGTTAATTAATTCATGTGTAAATCACACGGGTTCATATGTAAATCGGTTAATTAGTTATATGTGAATCAATTAAAATAGTTTTTATGTGAATCAAAAGAGTCCATATATGAAAATATAGTTCAAATGTGAATCGCATAGGTTCATATATGACCTGTTTACCGTCTATTTGCAAAAGTTACGAAACTATCCTCTTTATTTTTCAGATAACCGCAATTATTTACCAGTCAAATCCAATATTGTCGTATGAAGGGTTGTGATTACTTATTTACTTCTTACCATCTTTGGATATATATATATATATATATATATATATATATGGGTGGGTTCAAATAAAAACCACTCAATTTGTAAAAATCGTGAAAATCTCATTCAATCAATCATAATTTTTCATTTTGTTCATTTTTTTATAATTATGAGAGGTTGATTAACCATTTTTATTGTGAAGGGTGTTAATCTTGGATATTATCATCTTCATTATTTTAATTTTAGAGAAATACATGAAACAGTTTCATTAAAATTTCATTAAGTGGTATATGAAACAATTTCATAACCACATATGAAACAACTTCATCAAAAAAAGTATTATATGAAACAATTTCATAAGATTAACAATTTCATGAAAAAATTTCATAAGATTAACGATGAATGAAAGTAGTTTTTACGGTTTTTACAAATTGAAGTGGTTTTCATTTGATCACTCCTATATATATATA